GCAAATCAGAAATAAATGCCTGCAAGGCACTTCTCCGAAATTGGTGGAGGATGGCTCTTGGATATAACAAGATTGTTGGGCGCGGGGGATATTGTTCCCTTCCTAGCACAGTTATCAGCCCCATGACAGCTCCCAATCCATTCCCTGGCGTTGCTTATGAAATGCTCAACTGGAGCAAGTCAACTTCGAAAACTTCGGCTTCTCGGTCCCTTGACCGTCCTGACTTGACCGCAGAGGCTATCAGCGAGGTGTTCAACAAACCAGGGTCGCCGTCCGTTCTTTTCCAATCCAACGGCCAATACAGCATTGCTTCGGTACTAAGTCCTGGCTCATGGAGGTTTGAATACAACGTCGAAACACATAAGCTTCGAATGCTCCAGCTGTATGGCGACTGCAAAGAGGTTGAGAATTGTATTACTGTTGCTCAGTTGTGGGATGCCTTACGGTATTTGATGGAAATGAAGAAAGTTGATTCAGGGAACTCTCATGTGCCATTCTGGGGTGGCTTCCTGGGTTATCTCTCCTACGAACTTGGTCTCACATGCCTTCCCCACCCAGGCCATGCGCAGGCCTCTGAGGCACCAAAGCCCTCCAGCACTGATAAATCATCCGATTCTTCCTTTGAAAATCCACCCGATGTCAGCCTGCTGTGGTGTGAAAGAAGTATCGTGGTTGATAATACTACTGGTGCCGTTGTTATTCAATCCACTCGCGATGATGATGCGGGTTGGCTTGATCAGACACTGCAGCAGCTGGAAAACTTATCGGATAATGGCCATGACACATCTGCAGATCGAAGCTTAGATTCAATTCTTCGGGAAAGCAAGATCCAGTTCCCCGAGGAGAAGGAGTACAAACGGCAAATCGAGACATGCCAAGCGGAGCTGGAAGCAGGTGAATCTTATGAACTATGTCTAACCTCTGAAACATCGATCACCTTGCCAGTTCCAGAACTAGAGTCGGATCGTTTGGTGTTCCCTTGGAAGCTGTTCAGGCGACTCAAAACATACAATCCCGCTGCATTCAGCGCTTTCGCAGATCTGGGAGATACAAAGATTGCCAGCAGCAGTCCAGAGTGCTTCCTCAACTGGGACCGTGAATCGACACTGGAGATGAAGCCAATGAAGGGCACAGTCCGAAAATCACCAGGCATGACCATGGAGAAGGCCTGTGAGATCCTCGGCTCCACGAAAGAGATGGCAGAGAACCTGATGATCGCGGACTTAATCCGCCACGATCTGTACGGCATCTGCGGATCAGGTGGTGTCCATGTCGAGAAGCTGCTTGAAGTTGCAGATTACGGCCGAGTCTACTCAATGATCACACACATCAAGGGCAAGATCCGTCCCAACCACCCTGGTTTCGCTGTGCGACACATGTCCCAGCTGAATACCCCCAACATGTCCGTTCACGGCCTGACCACCCTCCAGAGGTGCCTCCCACCGGGTTCCATGACTGGTGCACCCAAGGAACGCTCTTGCATGCATCTTCGCACGATTGAGAATCGCAAGCGTAGCATCTACTCCGGTGTGATGGGCTTCCTGGACCTTGGCGGTGGTGGAAGTTTCTCGGTTTTGATCCGCTCAGCATTCACTTGTTATGGTGGTCGGGATTACACCGAGAATAAGCAGCAGACCTGGCGAATTGGTGCCGGGGGTGCTATCACCACACTCAGCACCGCGGAGGGCGAATGGGATGAAATGTTGACCAAACTGCGTGTAGTTTGCAACGTCTTCAAGCCGCTCAACACAGGCGAGGATTCTTAATTTCTAGGCACAGTTTTGATTTTTGGCCATTATGACAGTTATGCTTGATCGCATCATGATCCTCGCTTTCCCTTGCTTTCAACATCCGGATCCACGCGTTGGGATAGTGATTCGATTCAACATTCAGCGTTGGCGTTGGCGTTTCGGTTTGCATTTTGCTATTGTATTAGTACCTTGGATTTTGTCTATAAACCCAATTCAACACCTATAGAAATTAAAAATACAGATATTCATCACTCTCTTAACTGATTCTCGCCCGTCGTCATCGTATATTGTCAAGATGCAAACAAAGCAAACACCGTTTTCTCCGCAGCTTCAACTTCCGAGCTGCGTCTTTCCTTTCAAACTCTTTCGCAATTTTCAAAATAAAAGCTTGCCACGAGCTTAGATAGACCGGAGCCTACTCGGTCTATCATTCCAGCGTCGCAAATGGCGAGCCAAGATGCCTCAATGGAGGAGATCCTCTGGCGGTCTCCCCCGCACGTCCAAATGATGGGGGGATTCCTTCATTCCAACAATAGTGAGTTGCACACCTTACCTCACCTGGAATTGAGCTTAATTATCTCGTCAATTAGTTCTGTTCTACTTTGCCGAATCCCCTTTCTTTGATTCGACTTCCAACAACGCCTCTCTTGCCATTCAAGCGAACTACAACGATTCCTTCCGTCATTTCGTCGAGACGCGCGAAGCGTTTGAAGCCAGACTGAAAACAATGCAGGGTCTGGAGTTTATCGTGTCATATGACCCCCTCCAAGCAGCCGCACAAACTGACAACCGCTTTGCCCACGAGCCATCCAACATCTGGGTGATCCGCAAGCAGAACCGACGTAAGAGGAGCGGCATGGACGACGAGGTGACCGTGATATCTACATATTTCGTTGTCGGCGACTGCATCTACATGGCTCCTTCGGTTGCAAGTGTAGTAGGCAACCGAATTGTATGTATCCTCTCGAAACCCACCAATTACTCCGAGGCAACTAATCTAATAAATCCTCCCCCCGCAGCTATCAGCTGTCACATCCCTAACCCAGCTCATGAAATCGGCTGCGACATTACCAACATTCACCGCCTCTCACGGACACACCTACTTGCCGCCTGGAGTCCGCAGCAAAGAAGGCGCAGGAACCAGCCAAGCCTCCCAGAGCAAAGAAGCAACACCCATGCCAGACGCATCCTTCCAAACCACCGAATCCTCGCAAGCAACCGGTAAATCAAGCCTTGGCGGCTCAACCACAAGCTCGAACTATCAAGATACGCGCAGCCTAGCCGAATCATTCAGTCTTCTCACGCGCTACGGCGACGAATTCATGGACGAAAGTCCCCTCGTCGGTGAACCAGGCTCGTTCATCCTATCACGGACTGGCGGCGAGACTACCAGCTCGGCTGTTAAGGGAGCGCCGAAAATCGCTGCTAATGCGGCGCCGACTAGTACTCCTTCTGCTCTGCCTGTTAGGGCATCGACGCCGCAGGTGCGTGTCGATACACCCGGTAAGGCTTCTGAGAAGAGTTCCCCGCCTAGCTCTACTGGTGATAGGGGGAAGAAGAAGAAGAGTCGGATTGTTAGCTGAGTTGGTTTCTTGATACCCTGTTTTTTTTTTTCTCTGTTGCATCTCTGGGCGTTTGGGGTTGGGCATAGCATTTGTGGGGATTACTCTGTTGGTATCTAGGAGCTGGCTATTTGCTCATTTTGACATGTGGTCTTAGCCTGGTTATTGTTGGATTCTGTGTTGTTATTTACCAGACCATTGAAACGCAGTAGTTCATCTTTCTAGTTTTGTATCCATACATTGGGGTGATTCTTATGACACTGTTGCTGTGTTGTACAACGAGAGCGCTCACCATATATTGACGGCATACATATATCGCCTATCACACTGCCATAATGCAAATTGTGAACGTTGATGCTTTCCACGAGTAAGTCCTTTGAGGGCTATTCTCGTGGTTAGGAGCATGGGGAGGTCGGGACAATCCAGAAAGCTTCTCTCTTTCTACAATTTCCACCTCCGAATTATCGGATTTTGAACCGAGATGGCCCGCTACCAGTGTAGCGGTATCGAAAGCGATAGATACCCGAAGGATGACGGGCAGAAGGAGCCACAGCATTTGCAGCTATGGCAAAACAAAGGGATAAGGGACTTGGAACCAGTCTATCGGCCAAGTCAGAAATCTGCGAAGAAGAGGGCATGTTCAAATACCTGGTACATATTGCATAGGCTATGAGTTATTTTCTTAAAGGAAAAAGACTCCAGATCGATATCATCGATCGGGAACCCACGTTCACCCTTCTGGTATCTATGTCACCCACTTTCTGCATTTGGACAGCTTCATGCCCTCACTCTTCACTGGTCCATCAAGTGCAACAGAAAATATAGATATAAAGATCTACTGGGAACAAGAAGACCTTGGAAGAAGCTCGGTAGGTGCATGGAGAGAAGATCTATTTACAAAGGCGACAATATATATAGCCTGAGAGCAAACAATAGAGGTCGGGCGATATGTCTCATATATATACGGTGTTGAAATACACACCCATGGATGCTCGCACTGGTATCCTGGATATGACGAGTTCGGACATTTCTCCGTGCCAATTACCAGACCAGCTCTCTTCCCCTGAATTCGGGGAGAGATAAAAGTATACGGCAATCGCAAAATCGGCTTTACCAACCAAAAACCATTCTTGAGGTCAAGGGATAGGGTATCGGCTCTGGTGAGGTCTCTAGAGATCTTCACGTAAGCGTAAAATGGATTTGTCAGTAAGCTAATCATGTGACGTCATTTGATATATAGTTCATCGAGCGAAAATTCAATAGATGTTTACCGTCTATTTATTTTGTGAAAAAACCAGCTCCACTCTTTTAATCAGATGGTGGCCCATCAATGTGAGTATGCTACCTTGCAAAGAGGATTCGACTCACCGTATCTGGCCGAAAACATTGACTCAATCCAACCCGGTCAGCCCTATCGGCCAATAGTAACCGCATTAATCGTGCCTGTGAACCATGCCGGCGTAGGAAAGTCAAATGTGACGGCGACCAGCCATGCGGTGCATGTATAGAGCGAAATATCAGTTCTTGCATTTATCGCCAGTACGATCGTCGGCCTTCAAGAAAGAGGTTCCCTTTGACCTCATCAGCTCCGACCTACCGAACTGGCGTGAACACCACGTCTTTCAGCTCACATGGCCCGATTTCAGATGCCAGTACTCTAATCCCACAACCCCAACATGATTCTGAAATGTTAAATATGCAACGAGAACTTCGAGCGGGAATTGGAGTGTCCAATACGAAAACTGGATCTTTTCAGTTCTACGGTATTAAATTAGCTATAAGCTGGCCCTTGTGGGATGTGCTACTAACGTGTCAGAACTTTAGGGCCCTCATCTCACATATGCTTCATCCAGAGGATATATCAGCGGCTGAAGTCGCGCACACGTGAAACGCTACTTGATCAACAGAACAGCCCTGTTCCGGATGGACTGGAGAAATGGGGCATACATCGTTTCTTATTTGCTTGCGGAGGCGAATTCTCTCCATTCTCGGATCCAGCCAGTAATGCGTGCTTGCCCAGAGAAACAGGATATGACTTTATCAACTCTTTCTTTCAAATCATTCACCCCCAAATCCCGTTACTTAATCATTCGGAGATTATCCAGCTGTGGGAAAGTGTCTGGGAGGCGCCCACTCCAGGAAAACCGGGCAGAGCCAGAGATATTCTATTCATGGTCTTAGCACTTGGGGCTAAAGTGTCACCTCGAAGTTCAGAGAGTGCTGCGGATTATCTAGACAAATGGGCCGAGTATCTCTGGGCGAACTCGAATAACTACGGCGCTCTCTTCCAAGAATCGAGTCTCAAAGGCACGCATTTCTTGTTGCTGAAGGTTGGTTCTATCTTCCCGTGCTCTGTGATAGCAACAAACATGTACTGATCAGGTGTGTGATCTGGCCTTTCTAGGCAATGTATGCGTTACATTCTATGAGACCGAACGATGTGTATCTATATACCGGTCACGCAGCTCGTAGCGTTTTTACTCTTGGTCTCAACCGGGGCCAGGTAGCCAATGGCACCAGTCTATCCATGCATCGTCTCCGAACAACCTTCTGGACGGTGTATTCACACGAGAGGATGTCGGCGTTTTTCACCGGACGGCCATCTAGCATCTCGGACAATCATATCGATACTGCCCACCTCGAATATTCGCCCCTCATTGATCATGTCTTACTGGATGAAGATTCCTTGGATATAACCGCACCCACCAGAAACTGTGCATTCATCCGAGCAATGGCGGAAATCGGGAGAATAGTTGAGACCGTGTCTACCGATGTTCTCTCCCTTGGCAGCGTCTCGGCGAACGGATATTCTGTCAAGACAGCAGACACCATCAACACATGCGATAACGCGTTGAATGTCATTTTAGGGCATCTACCTGAATATCTTCAGTTCCATGATTCTAATCGCACTATTGGTAAAGACTGGCAGGAAATCCAGAGGACACACCTCGGCCTCACTTATCATTTGACAAAGTTGATGATGCATCGACCGGCTCTCGTCCTTGTAACATTGCACAGTCACTCGGGGGAGCCGTCTCCCAATATGCCGAGTCTGCAAAAGTCAATTGACGCCGCCATTGCGTCGGCCAAATGCATCGTTGATTTGGCTCATCAGGCCATCTTCACTCGCATCCAAGTTATCCAAAATGACGCTTCAGTTGCGAGCTTCGTTATGTCCGCATGTGTAACGCTGCTCTACAACGTCATCGAGCCGAGCGTGACATCCACCTATGCCAAGGACATTTTCAGTCACGTTGAGCGTGCAATACATTGTCTAGACAAGATGGATCATGTCGGGCCTACCACTGGTAAGGCACTGAGCGTGGATGTCATGAAATGCGCCAAGGATGCCTTGATGTTATCGAATAGTGATATTCGTTTTGATCATGCGATGATTGATGAATTTCCCTGGCTAAAGTGTGTTATATCTACCTTCTAAGCTGTTACCCTTTTTAAATCGCAAACTGACGCTCCGGATTCGCAGCTTTAATTCAGACCCAATAAGCGACCAAAACCTGGCTGCCGATGTTCAACATCCGCTCAATTTTGACGCCCAAATGGCCCAAATGCCTTCACATTCTGACGGTCTTAATTCGAATGCAAATGACCTGGTACCTGCTGATATTTCCGGCATGAACTACTTGTCGTATTGGTTAAATGGCAATGTCTTCGATTTCGGTATCCCCGAAGATCTCAACTGAAAATGTCACTCTATTGGAGAAGACGAACTTGGTGAATTGATTTGAATAGGAATATGATTTAGGCTGGGGAAAACACGGTGGTCTCTGCCTCTGTATTGGAGTAGTTATAGTATCTATATTGTCTTTTGTCATAGTGTCTCTCAGACAAGCATAGCCAGCCGCCTATACAGCCTCTGTAAGCCTACATAATAATCCGATCCATGTCTCAGATGGTCTTTTTAGATGCACACATAGGAACTGGAAAGCATAACCCGTGTAGAGGACTTTTCTGTGTATAACTAAGGAGTACAGACATCTGGCAGTACAACAATGTATGGTATGGCGCAATGATCTATATTTCTCTAAAAATGACGAGAGTTTCAACGAACAATCTAACTAAGCATATTATGTACCTTTATGTCTGACTCACCAATACGTGGTCACATAATTTTCTAAAGTACCCTATATCCAACCATCCATGCATGTATTCAACCATAGTGTTCAACAAACCCCCCAAGATGCTGCCAAGTATTACCTTTCTGCATCATTCCAATAACAATCTCCATTCTCAACATGACTTTCTCCCATAACATGTCAGGTAGCGAAGTAGGTATAGATCGTACGTGGTGTCTCAGACACGGCGCTGGAGTCTTCCCTTATTCCACCACATGACAATGTACAGTAGGACAATATTGGTGATGCAGAATCCCAAAAAGACTGCCCAGTCCCGCCACTTGTCCGAGTAGTGGAAGTTCAGGGTTTCTAGATAGTCATCACCCACTGAGTACTGACAGTACTGGCAGTTCACAGAGGAAGTCTCATTCACGAGATATCCCGCACTTTGACTGATAAAACGAGCCGCGTATTCCCCGCATGTCTGGCCGGGAGGAGGATCAAACTTGACCAACTCATCAGGGCCACATTTCACACGGAGACCATGCAAGGCACTTGAGACACTTCCCCCGAAGAAGTATCGCATGGGGTCTACCCAAAACAACCAAGGACGGTAAAAGTCATTCATATAAGCTTTGGGGGTCAGAACTCCCGAGAACACCATTAGAATGCACCAAATCAGTGAGTTTGCGTGACCACTCATTGTTGCATTCGGAAATAGCGCCGCAAGAAGCTGGCTATATGTAGTGCCAAAGATTGCGAGAAGGAGCCAGATGAAATAGAAGTAGCCTGTGGCTGTTGTCGTGGTGGGGAACCCGATCGTCCAATATGTAGCCAAAAAGATGAGAGTATAGGTGCCAATTTGCCATGGAAGCTCAACTGCGACGCAGGCAGATACAAGAGCCTTCCAATCGTAGATTCCATTCTTCTCGCGGGCTGTGAAAATGGCCCATTTTTCGAACCACACGTTCTGGATATCTGCGCATGACGCTGGGATAATCCAAGCAAGAAGAAGAATTGCAACCATATGGTTCTGCAGCCCTTGCTGAGTGTCCTTTGTCTTGAAGAATGCAAACGCGATAAACATCTCGATGAAGAGGGCTTTCCAAATGCGACTGAAGTTGTAAAACCCATTTCGCCACACTGAAATCCAATGTCGCTTCGTGACCTCGAGGGTTTGTGCATAGAGAGGTAATGCGTACTCGCCCTGGTTTGTGTCGACATCATCGGCAATGTAAGAATTGGCTAGACTATCATCACTTTGAAGTTCAGATACAACCTCATCAAGTGTCTTGCGCTCTTCCGACTGGTTCCATACTTCTGACCAGGGATGCGAGTCAGCACCCTGCGAAGAAACCAAAGAGATGATGAATTCAGCCGGGTTGTCGTTTGCAGCGATTACAGCGCCATTTTTCTGGAAGTATTCCACAACATTGGCTGAATTTTCACCCGTCTCGCCAGCAAAAACGGTTCGTCCTCCAGGCGCAAGAAGAAGGATACGATCAAACATATTGAACAATACACCGGATGGCTGATGAATTGTGCAAATGATGGGAATACCTTGTTGAGCCACTCGACGAAGAAACATAACCAAGGAAAAAGCGGCTTGGCTGTCGAGACCTGATGTGGGCTATATGGAAAAGGTCACATGGGTCAGTCCATGTCATATAGGAATCCAAGAGGGAGAGCCAAAATTCATGCCCAAGCGTAGATATTCCAAGGGATAACTTACTTCGTCAAGAAACAGCAACGCAGACGGACGAGCTGCCAATTCAACTCCAATGGTTATTCTTTTCCGTTCTTCCACAGATAGTTTTCCGTCACCGGGAGTTCCAATAATCGCATCTGCGATAGACTCCATGTCCAGGGTGTTGATGACATTTTCAACATATGCCATCTTTTCGCTATCGGAGATGTTTGCCGGCTGTCTCATACGAGCGGAAAACTGAAGCGCTTCGCGAACGGTAGCCAAAGGCTCGTGAACATCTTGCTGCATCACGAAACCACAGGAGCGAGGGAATGTGGGACCTAAAGGCTTCCCATTGATTCTCAGTTGTCCTTCCACGCGTCCACTGCTATTCCGTTGGGCGAGCGTATCGAGAAGAGTTGTTTTGCCCGCACCAGATGCGCCCATCAGAGCAGTTAGCTGGCCAGGCTTGACGTAGCCACTGATACTTCGAAGCAACTGCTTTTCCTCGCCATTGACGTTCACGTAGTAGCTTAAATCTTTGAATGAAAAGACTGAACCATGTGGCTTGCTGCTGACTTGACCGATAGGCTCATTTTCATCGATCTGAACCGTCGAAATGCTAGACGAATGAGACGACGTATTAAAGTTCCTTTCAACATCATCACTCAGCGTTGCATGTCGGGCTAGAGAAGTTGACTTTGATTTCTTGAACACTCGAGAATGAGAACCGCTAGTTTCCCGGGTCATGATGGTGAGTCCTAACCCGGCCAACAACGTGTACAAAAACCATAGGACCAAGAGAATACCAAAATTCCGCCATAAGTTCTCACGAGAGAACGCGAACTGGTGGGTCATGTATGTCGTACCAGTTACTGATCGATGACCTTTTTCGCTTCCCACAATGCTGCAGGTTTGATATCGCAGGTCATCGTATCCACTGCCAGTTGGCACCATCTGAAATTCATGACAAGTCAAGTCGATACCGGAAAACTCGTTCCCAATTAGCGCCTCGAGCGCCCAGGGTGAAGGTGCAATCCGTCGTATCCAGGATCCCCACCGAAGTTGTGTCGGTCTCGTCGGGGAAAAGCCAGACCAGAGAAGATTGACGGGAACCGCACTACCAGCTAGAAGCAGGGCAATCGATGTATTAGGAGACCAGGCGCCTAACATTCGAAACATGCTTTGTATAGCGGAATAGTAAGTAAAGACAACCAGGACAAATATCCAAAAGGCAGAGGCTGTCTTCACCAGACCGATGGTGAAATAATAGCAGCATGTGAAGAGAAGACATTGGATGAATGCAACTGGGATATCCGCCAAAGCTTGTGCAATGACAAGGGCTGCCGGTCGAAGAAACCCGTACTTGGATTGTTTAAGCAGCACGTCGCGCGATTTTACAGTGACTGTAGTTTCTGCCATGCCCACCAAGCAGAAATAAATCAAAGAAAAAAACAACGCACAGCTTCTTTCGTAAGAGCCAGTGGCATCTTTCGGGGCCATGTAGTAGGAAGAACCGTTGATGAGGGCGTTGGCCAGGTTGAATGCGATGAGCGCGTAAAATGTTCGACGTTCGCCCCAAAGCAGTTGGTAGTGCCGACGCAGTGTCACCCAGACCTGCTTGAACAATGGCGTTGGGGCGGACGCTTTTCCAAGAGTCCATTTGGATCTCAATTCATCCACGCTTTGAGCAAATTGAGTAATGGTATTTTGATCTTGCACTACTGTGGTGCGGTATCTTTCCATTTCGTCCAGGAGTTTCCGATAATGAGTGCTGTTGCGAAAGGCATGTGCCATCTCGACTGGAGTAAGAGGGACGAAAGAGGCCTTATGGTCCTCGCGGATCAATCGCTCGGCTGGTGAGGTCACGGAGGTCAAAAAGTCGGGGGTTGTTTGTCTGTTACGGCACTCAAATCCAAGGTCGGTAAAATACTGCTTCGCGTCGGACGTTAACCCATAAAAGATCATTTGACCTTCATGGAGTACCATGACCCGGTCGAAGCACTCCTCGTAAATTTTCTCCGAGACCTGATAAATGGATACAGCGTTGGACATTCCGGAACTCTTGGACACAGATCGGAGGGTACGCAAGAACTGGGTGGCAGATGAGCTATCCAAGCCACGGATGGGATTGTCCCATGATCCAAATGCTGGGTTGACAGCAAGACCCTCCCCCAGAGTGATGCGTTTTCTCTCACCCCCGACAATCCACGTATAAACGCATCACCCACGATCGTGTCTTTTGTATGCATCATTCCCATGGCAGACAAGCTTGCATCTGTCATCTCGTCGGCAAAAGCGGCATCATCCCTCTGCTCGGAGGCAGGTTTGCGAAGGCGAAAGCCGAAGCCAAGTGTGTCTTTTACTTTAAGAGTTGGAAAATGGATATCCTCTTCGCTCACATATATGACCTCTGAAGGAAATTTCTCGAGCATCTCCTTTGATTCTAGACCGGCGTAGGATACCATACCGCGCACGTCCTGGAAAGACTCGTGGTTGTTGGCCAGAACTTTCAAGGCAGTCGAGCAGCCGGACCCTGGTCGACCCAACACCAACAAAGTCTCTCCGGGGAAAAGAACGCCTGATACATTCTCTATGATCTTCGTAGATGCATCGGCTTTTCTCGTGAGAAGTTTTGAGAAGGGCCACTTCGCAATTTTGAACAGGATTGCTGGCAGGTTCGAAATGCCATCAGTTCCAGATTCTGCACCAAAAACTGTCACATTCTCATAGATAATACCCAATGACCGACCGGATGGGCGATAAATGAGCGAAGGGACTTTCTCCGTGGGGACCTCATCCTGTGTTTCGATTGAACAATTAGACTTTCCTGCCCTTCTTTGCTTGTCAAAATAGGAAGGACACTTACTTTAAGAGCATTCTCTTGGTCTCCCATGATTGGCTTCACGGTTTGAATTGACTTTATGTAGTTGCTAGCCAGGTAGCTATATATACTTCAACAGTCGGATGAATTATTTAAAAGTTCTGCCACGCCACAACATGAAAAAAAGGAGAATACTCTCGCAAAATTACACAATGATATATATCCGACATTATTTACAATCATCCATGAAAAAAAACATAGTCTACAGCTATGTGAACTCCATGTAGAACGGCCAGATGTATCCCGTCAGCCAATCAGAGATTGAGTTGACTTCCGTCCACGGATCAAACGGGGCCAAATCCGGAAGTCAACTCGACATCCGATTGGTTCAGCTCAAAATTAGCATTGAGTTTCCAACTTTACATTGACTATACTCTCTTCGCTTATCAATTCATGAGCTCGACCTCGGAGACATATTATTCAGTCGGATGAATCATGGATAGAATGCATTTAAAATCGGCACTTAACTTCCCCTTTCTAAATGTGAGCAAGGGAGTCCACATGGCTCCAGCTACAATAAAACAAGAGGACACGAACATGGCGTCTTTAACGACGTAGGACTTTAATAACCTGGTTTGCCTATCTAGCTAAAGATAATAATCCGCGGTTCGCTTATATATGATTTCTCTTTAAATATATCTTCTGCCTGTATTGCAGCTTCTAAATTGACTCAAAGGAGAATGAATGGTATCACAGAATGGACTTTTCTATGTATAACTTTTGAAGTGATGATGGTTTTGGTACACAATTATGGCCGAGCAGAAAATGGGCAACGCTTATAATCCACAAAGTTCACATCCTCAAAAGCCGGACTGTACTTCAAACCAATTGGATGCCAGATAGGAAAGAGCTACTGGTCTGTAGATGGCCAAGCCAACTGGCAAAGACCTTCCAACATTGGAAGGGGTGATGTTTACCAAACACGGCCAGGATGGCCCATGGATAAATGCCCGCGATCCCCCCTTCTCTCACACCTTGCTTCTATCCTCTACGAGGTTATTACACTTTTTTGGAAAGCGTACATCTGTCTATCACTAGTCCCGATCAATCTTGTTGAAGGGTCTGGAGAGGTCAGCATTTCACAGGCTGGACTCAAGTAAACACACCGGATTATCTCAAACTGGCTATTGGCTGTTTCTAACCTCATTCAATGCCTCACCTAAATTGTGAAGGGGAATTTGCCTTTTGGTCAAATGTCCCTTTCTCATAGCACAAATGGCCAGAACATGATTATTTCCCAAATCAAACACTTTCTGGAACGAACCCAGATCCTCCGGCAGGAAAATCAAGCCCTGCCTGTCGGAGTCTGAACCTTTTTGGGAGAAGTATGAGAGTCTCTTTAGATCGACCCAGAAACGAGCTGACAGAGGAAGCTTCGGGATTCCCGCCAGTCATGATCTATAGAAGTCGTGGCGCCAGCATAATGGTTGGACAGCTTCCACAAGGAACCAAACTCCCCAGGCCGCCATAGTTTTATTCTGAGTATCCTACTTGGTATGAATACCGACGATCTCGAGAATCTACGCGCACTTGCCACTAGTTTTTAGAACCAAGAGTTGGGCATGCTCAACAAGAGCAGCAGAAAATTGTTATGTCGTCCCCCACCATGACCCCCAGGTGAGCTTCAGACTATCATATCTTTTGAGCAACAAACTAACAAGTCCCGCTTTATTCAGACTCTCGTATGGAAGCAAGCCAGTCTATTTACTTTGAATTACAAAAACATACACAACACAATTCCTCCTTGCGGATCTTGCCAGACGAGTTCGACATATCACTTGACCCTGGATATGTATTTCCCCCTACAGATATATAGTAATCCATTGATTTTGAACGCCCCATAATCAGCCGGCAATTCTTGTGAATGACCAATAGTGTTTTGCAATTTTTATTTCTTATCTTGGTTATGCCCAAGTTTTCTATGGAGCATAATGGTATATACATAGTCTACAGGTGTGCATGTACAGAGCAACTTTAACAAATTGTCGATATGAGAATATCGCTCAGTTCAATGGTCTATGGAAAACTACAAAGCTATCATAAGAAGCCTCAAGTTTATATTCATAAGCTAGAGCTGTTGTCAGTTCGGCATTACTGGCTTCTACTTAATTGACAAATTAAAGTCGAAGAATATATTTAGCTTATATTTCTTTTGGTATCTTCTCAAATTAAATCGACGTAGTCGGAATTTAAATAAAGCTTTTTACGTAGTTACAACCTCAAAGTATGTATAAACCATGGCTACTTTGTTCTGACCACAGCCTATGTCACTACCATTACGATGTGCAGATAAAACAAAGTCTATATACGTATTATCCATAGTAACGTTCATGTTCCTGTAAACAGCCTGGTTGTCTAAGCCATGAAGGCCTGCCGTACACAAAGCTAGTCCGAATTCCCCGGTTGATCTAACCTCGAGTGGCTGGAACTTCACGACCAAATTATCGAAATCCTATGTACAATATAACTTGAGGTATTCTGTAAAATCTTAACTGTATCACAGGAAATTACTTTGGAGAGCAAAATTGGAGTCAGCTTCGACACCCCTGACGTTATACTCCGCTATCTCTTATCGGAGTGGGGGTTTGCGGGCTGTTTGGGCTTGGGTTCGCTCATGAGTCAAGCTCCCTCTCTTCTTCATCCTTCTCCGATCAAACCTCTTTTAAGACCTCTCTCTTGTTTGTCCATACGATCAATCCCAACTATATACTAAAATGGCGGACTCAGAAACCAAGCCAGCCGTTGTCTGTGTATTGTGAGTCATTCCCCTCACCACTTTCAAAATTACAACAATACCATCTTGTCTATCTGGCGCGTGTGACCCCAGAGCCTATATATTCTATATAGTCTATATACCTCCTTCTTCTTCTTTGAAACCTTGAACTAACAAATACCCCTCGGGTCCCCAGCTGCGGCTCCGTCCCAGGCAACAGCCCGGTCCACATGGAAGCAGCCCGCGCCCTGGCCGAAGAATTCCACAAAAACAACGTGCAACTAGTCTATGGCGGCGGCACAACCGGTCTAATGGGAGAAGTAGCACGCGCACTGGTCTCACTCTCAGGCCCGAAAGCCGTCCACGGCATCATCCCCCGCGCACTCGTCAAAATCGCAACAGTCGGCGGTATGCGCGAGCACACGGAGGGCCAGGCCAGTGTCAAAGCCGGCAAAGCTGCGGAGCGTGTTGTCGATTCTTTTGATGCTGTTGATTCCAATGGAATTCCTGAGTCAGAATACGGTCTTACGACTATTGTCCCCGATATGCATACGCGCAAGCGTCTGATGGCGGAGAAGGTCCTTGAAGGTGGACCTGGGTCTGGGTTTGTTTCGCTCGCTGGTGGGTTTGGAACTATTGAAGAAGTTATGGAGATGACGACGTGGAACCAGTTGGGGATTCATAAGGTTGCTGTTGTTTTGTTGAATATTAATGGGTATTGGGATGGATTGTTGGCTTGGGTGCGCAATGCTGTCAAGGAGGGTTATATCAGTGCTAGTAATGGGGAGATTCTTGCGGAGGCCAAGGAGGTTTCTGAGGTATGGCCCAAGTTGCTGGCTTATCAGGTCAGTAATGGGCGGATGCAGTTGAACTGGGGAGAGGAATGAAGCTGCTCTATTTGATCATCAAATAAATGGGGCACGAGTATATAAATTTCGTTGCTTTTGATTGGGGTTTGTTTCTGCTCTATTCGGGTTTCGGCAGTGGACAACCTTAGGCATGTATACATACACAAATTACTTCGTTAGAAGAGCCTTATGAATTGATGATTGAGTAACTGAGATCATTGGACGCAAACACAAGACAAAGCATAATCGGGATTTCATGTCTATGCGAATCATTAAACCAAATCAGACAATTATGAATCAACCTCCATGTTCTCGGCCTCCGCACCAGCGGACTCGCGCTGCTCCAGCACCTCAAGCAGCGCAGCCGTGTCCTGGCCCTCGTACAGCTTGAAGTTCTCCTTCTTGCCATTAGTCACACCGACAACACCAACAGAAGTATTGTCCACCGTAAGCTCCTTATCCTGAGACAATGTCTCCTTTAGCGCGCTCAATCCATGCTGAATCAGCTCATCACGACTGCAGTCCTCGAACTTATCAAGGTTTCGCTCCAAATACGTACGGGCCATCTGCGAACGGGCACCGATGGCACAAGCAAGCATCTCGTGTGTCAGACCGGAGGGCTGGAACTCGAACAGGTGCGGGCCAGCCTCATCAACACCGGCAACCAACAGACCCACACCATAAGGCCGTTTCCCGTATTGCTGGGTGTTGGTCTGCGCGCGGTCGCCAATCTGGGCAACGATTCGGTCCAGGGGAATGGGCCGGCCGTAGGTCATCTTCGAGCCGAGGGACTGCTGCTTCATGAAGTTTGAGAGGACGCGGGCGTCTGATGCGAGGCCGGCGATGGCGATCGCCATGTGAGAGTCGATCTCGATGATCTTCTTCTGATACGAGGAGAGCTCTTCTGCGTTGCGCTAGAGGTTGTTTGAATGTTAGTTTTGACGATTTGGTCTGTTCGTTTTCTGTTGTAGGTCTGCGAACCTTGAGTCCAACCAGCACGGCATGTGTCTTATTCACCAATCCCACGACGACGGATCCTTGCTTCACTGCTTCCTGTGCATATTCCACTTGAAATATCCGACCCTGTGGAGAGCTGGGATCGTTCGAGTTAGCATCTGATGAATCCGAGGGAGGTCGGGAACCTGGTCTTACAAGGTGACGGCATCGTTGTCGTAATTGTTTCTGAACATCGTGACGGAAAGGGTTGAATGGATATCAAAGCAAATAGAGAAAGTGGATTCTTGTTGATAAATAGAGATTCAGGAACAGTAACTCAAGAATCCGAGGGATAATCCGGTGATGGAGGGAGAATGGGGGAGCTGGAGCAGGCAGTAAAGTGACGCGGTGTGAAGCATGAGCTGTTGGTGCCTGAGGCCACAATATCCAGTGACCTTCAGGCGCCAACGTCACTCATTCTCGAGCTCATCTCCAGCTTGTCGCAGTACTGTTCTTCTTTGATTTTCTGCACTCGGCCAATGGGGCTGTCATATTTGATCTGCTCTTGATATCGTATCCTGGTCCCACCCAGTTCAACAACTCATACCCCTCCCACCTTTAATCTCATCGATCGGCTTTCGGCGACTCCGCAATCATGGCTGCTGGACTCAAGACCATCATTGCCCTCTCCTTTGTATGTTTCATTCAAGTGATTTCCTGAATTCTCAGTATTTGCTGATATCTGGCTAGGTTCTTGCAATTGGCTTCCTCCTCGTTATCCTCTCTTCCGCGCTATGGCACAGATACTGGCCGCTGCTGGTGGTCGGCATCTACGTTGTTGCGCCGCTTCCCAACTGGATCTGCCAACGATGCGCAAACCCCGATGATTTTATGGACAGCTCAAGCAACTCCGCGATGGACTTTGGACGGTTCCTGACCGGATTTTTGGTTCTTACTGGAATTGGTACGTGGTTGGTTCAACAGCCCCTCTTGTGGGACATATCATCCCTCGACTAGTCGGCTCTTGGTATCTAGATCATGCTGTGTCTATACTAATTGCCTCATAAATGCGCCATTGATGATTATGCAACTAACCTATCCTCTAGCACTTCCTATCGTCCTCGCCCACAGCGGCGCAATCGAGATCCCAGCAATGATCATGTCGATTTTCGGAGGCCTATTGATTTACGGCACCATTATTAGTTTCTCGATGTTCTTCCAGGAACAGGAAGAGTTCTGATCGCCCAGACTGGATGAGACGCGGGTTGCCGAGGACTATACCTATACTTTAGGCCAATGGGTCTCGCGGCATCCGGCTTTCATGATGATATCTGTTTTTCTACTGTTTCTTTTGATTTCAGCGTATGCGTGATATGCTATGTATGAGTGATTTGGTGCGGGGTGTGCCTCACTTTAAATGGCGATGGCTCCAACACCTGGCTGTGCTACTCTAGGTGTATTATAACCCAATGGATATAGAGAATTCTTCTGAAAAATGAGGAATCCAAATTTCCAATTCTACTTAGCTTTTGAAATTATTCACAATCACTCCCTTCCAAGGGTTTGACTGATTTATTTAGTCTGACCTATTGTCCACGTGACCGCGCGCGGATTCGGCGCGTGTGCAGAGATTCGGAGATAAGCAGATCAGTTTGGGAACGACACAACTATACCGAATTGATGTCACTATGCTAAACTTAGGAAAGGCCTTTCCGGGATCCAGATAACAAGATGAATGTCTGGACAGGATCCATTCCTCTCAGCTCGGACTCCAAGTTAGAAGGTAAACCTCACGCGTATCGCATCCTATTCCTCGCTGACCACTTAACCAGGGATTCGACTGGTCGATCCGAATTCCTACTGGCAGTCCGAGCTGTCCAAAGAGTCCCAACTCAGTCTCCGCAGTTTTGTCAACCCAGCACTCATCCCACTGCATGCACGCGCCGGTCCCAACCTCGAGCTACACACATCCCACGCGGGGACATCAAAATGGCTCCAGAGGAAACTAATTGGCGCCCTCTGGCTAAATGAAGAAGACCCAGCACTCCAGCAATCTTTCCAGTGTCCAGTCGCTCTGCTAGTTACCGTTGAAGGCAACACTAAATCAGGCAACGCAACCCCAACGAGCTTATTAGTCTACGGCGTCCTATCCAGCGTGGCATCATGCACACGCCCACCCACCCCACCACATTCATCCCCCTCCGAGATTCCAGGTCACAGCAATACACCACAACGTGCTCCCTATGAACTCAGAATTTATGCCGCACCACTCTCAACATCCCGGCTCACGCAAGCCCAAGCCTATCCATCTCCACCACCCTCAAACCCAGACCAACCCATCGCAAACCCACGCTGCGCAGAGTTCCTACCAGACATAAGCTCCCCGAGCCCAAAACGCAAAAGAGTAGCAACCCTCTTCGAAGTAGCCGCACAACACCACCGCCGCGTCCGCCAACGGGGCGGCGAAGCCGTCTCACAACTAATGGCATCCTCACGACCTCTCTCCTCATCACAAAACCTACAAACCCTCCGCATCAAGCGCGAACCCGAAGAAGACGGCCCCACCCTTCCATCCCTCGACCGGATCGTCTCTCACCGTTCGCGATCCGTCTCAGTTGGAGCAGGTCTCCATCGCCCAGGTAGCGTACGCGGGCGCGCAACGCCAGCCCTAAACGCCGATCCGCAAAAGCGCGCTCCAACGCCAAACCCGTTCTTGGATTCTGGCCCGCGCCGCGGAGGCCAGATGTCGCAGGCCCAGGGCCCGTCGTCTCTTTCGGCCTCTGAGGAAAAGCCGGTCTCTGCGCCTGGCTCGCCGGCTAAGGATCCTGATACTGTGATTGCGGAGAATAAGAATCTCATCACGCGCACGATCTTGACTTGTATGCGACTGTATGGGTTCCACCGTGCGAATATGCGCTCTACGTCAACGGGCAAGCCGTCAGGTGGTGCTGGCGCGGAGAATGAAGCTGATGTCTCGGGAACGACGCCGGCGCCGGAGGCTTTGCGTGCTGAAACGCCTGCGCCGGGAAGCACTGCCGATGATGATGAGTTCAAGGCTATGTACCATGCCACGTACAAAGCTGCTGCTTTTGCGCTTCGTAGGTATTTGAAGCAGGCGCCTGGGTTGGCGCCTTCGGTCTTGGAGAAGGAGAAGGCTATGACTTGTATTGATGAGTTATTGAGGTTATTCTGTGAGGAGCATTGAAGGAGGTTGGAGGTAATATGGATGATGGTGATTTTACGATTTCATGAATGCATATATGGGACTTGGTGTTCAAGGGCGGTTCTGCTTAGGGCATTTGTTTCTTCATGCATAGCTGCAATGATACTTTTTTTTTGATAATGTTGACTTCTACTTTTTACTTGAATATCTATGTGTTCTAGGCATCTCAGAATCCGTCATAATAAGTACTCGCAACCGAGACCACGCAAAACGTAAAATGCAAATGAATTCATGCTAAAGCGCCAATCCCAGCCAAAGATGCGGATGCATGTAATGCATCCCGGCAAAAAGTCATCAAAGCAAGGAAATCGAGTAGAATACAAACAGAGTTATAGATTGAAGCAGCCTGCCTCACAGAGCCAGATTGTAGGTGTAGTCATCCTCAATGTTCTGAGAAACCCAGAGGACGATCGAGCTAGATCAAGAATAGCATAGTTAGCACGCAAGCACAACTTCCCATCGAATGAAATCGAATCAACCAAAAACACATACCTAAGCATAACAAGCCCATTAGCCACAATATTCGCAATTCCAAAGTAAAGCGTCTGGATCGGGTAATCCTTGATAAGATACTTGAGAACCATGACCGTCTATCGAGAACAACCGAGTTAGTAAAGCCCGACCCCAATGCCTCCGCCCCAACAAGGAAGTAGCAGAAAGAGAGAGAGAAAAAGAACATAAACATACCACACTCCCAGCCAAACCACCAGCAAGCAAGGCAAAACCCAAAAACAGCACAAATCTCGCCTTCCACGCAACCCCACTCCCGCTGTAACTAAAGCTATCTGCCTGCAGCCGGCTCTTCTCAATCGAGTTGATAACCAGCATTCCGAGCGCGGAGCAGATACCGGGGATCCAGTCAACGAATTTGATATGCACGTCTGAGCCGTTGCGCGGGCTGCGCGAGAATGAGGCGACGTCGATTAGGAAGAAGAAGCCTGCTGCGAACTATTGTACGGGTTGGTTTTTGTTAGCACTTGATACTGAGGGATATTTGAAATTTGTTTTAGGTGGAATGTGTTTGGTGTAAATCTGAGATTCAATTCCATTTCTTTTTCTTTTGGATTGAAGTGCTTTGAGCTTGGGGTGTGTCGCGACAGCCTGGTCTCGGGTGGAGGTGGAGGAGGGTGGATCAGATGCTTACCAAGGCGCCTGCGACGTAGACGCCGCCATTGCGGACAGCGGAGTTATTCAGCCATTCTGGCTTGGAGAAGCGGAAGAGTCGGTTGCTTGAGCTGTCCATTTTTTTGGGTGTGTGGGGGATGGAGTCTTGGTTGAGGGGATGGTGCTGGTGAGAGAGCTGCCGGAGTCCAATGACGATGTCTGGGTGGAGAAATGTTGTTCCGGGGTATCTGTGGATATCATCAAGCAACCTTGGAAGGGTAACGTGAGTTCTAATCTATAGGAAACTGGTTACTGCTTTTCTTTGGATCTTTTATTAATGAGCTACATTATAGTGTGTATTAGGTTTTGTTGTTTTAAGGTATACTGTTATAACAAAATAGTCCAATTTAGGCAGCATAGGCACTGAAGTGCATAGATTCAGACATCGGGATATGACATTGACAGTCGAAACTCGTGATTGCATTTAATATAGGACAACATGTCCCTGGGTATGTACAATTCAAATGTATGCTTAGACCACAAAAAAAAACCAGGTTGTTGGATGATGCTGATGCAACCCAAGGCAACCAAGTAACCAGGAAGCAGTGCAGAACCATTTCGGGTATCCGCACATTAAATGATCGCCGGTACCTGCCAGCATTGAAGCCTAGCGTCGTCATCACAGCGCTCAACGCAGTTGCAGTAACAGCTTTGCCTGTCGCACTGCGAGCGCCAGCCTCACAGGGCTAGTCCCAAGGGACGGACTCGCATTCAGTGGGTATCTTGGTGCCTCTGTGTCTTTGTGTATTCTGACTCTTACAGTCCAGTCACTGCTCACTCCCTTCATGCCGAGGTATTGACCTGGTGGGACCGCAGTTTATCCATGATAGTGTCAATGCCGTCCATGTCGGCAGCGTCAGTCTTGTCAGTGGGGTAGCCTTCTGGGAGGCTCTTGTTCAACGCATCCAGGGCAGGCTGGTGGTTACGGACTGCAGAGGAGATGGCGTAGACTGCCTTCTTGCGGGTTGCGGGGTTGGTTTCTGTAGTGGCGAGGTTGACAAGGGTAGGAATTTCGTTTAGGTCGACAAGCTGGCGAATGTGTTAGTATTGTGATTATCATGCTTGGTGGGTCACTCAAGAGTCTCTCATACCTGCTCCTGTGCCTTGGGGTTGTTCTGCACGGCTGTTCCCACACACCAGGCCGCCATACGTCGGATATCGGTCTCGTCGTGCTTTAGCAGCTCAACAAGAGGCTTCCATAGATTGAGCGGGACGAGGTTGTTCGCATTGTCGATTCCCTCAATGAGCTGCTCGAAGTTGTCGAATGCGATCAACTTGTTCTCCAGGTCGGACTCGTTGTCGTGCACGACTTCCATCGCGGCCCGCATCAGGTCGGCATCGGAAGGACCGCCAAAGAGTGTGTTAACCATCTGTGGGGTCAGGCTTGACGCGGCTGCTGGGAGGTTCGGGGCACTTCCCTCGCCATCGGCGCCTGCAGATGCCTGGGAGTTGGCGACACTCCATTTGAGGAGCTTGTTCATTTCGGGGTCCATGGTGGGCTGGCGGGGTAATTGTATTGTCGGTAGGGTGTGTTGTTTTTTGGGGGAGGCTAACGAAGAAGAGAGTAGGGAAGAGAGTATATGTCGCAGGACGAAAATTGGTTTACTGTGTGATACACAGTATTGTTACAGTCGCGATGTTCAATACTTTTCTACAGTTGGAAAAAAGGCCTGCTGACATAATCTGACGTCTAGTGGGAGGGACGACTCTGGGTGATTCGCGCGGCGACCAGCGGGTTCGATCATGTGACCATATCTCAAAACCTTGGAGGAACTGGAGTCATCATAGACTACTACATACACAATATAGACTGTATGTATAGTCTCAATTGAAGAACCTTGACATCAGACAGCCGAGATCTCCATAATTTTCATCCCAAATTGTTGAGCTACAAACAGACTCGCGCGTTGCCCCTTTGATCTATATTCGGTTGGCACTGGAAACCTGGACTCCTGGTGCAAAGTCCCTTCATGACAATACCTGAAATATAAAGATTTGAAAGAACATTATCATCAAGTTAAGTTTCGGTGGTTTGAATAGTGTTAGCACGAGTGTGATTTCCAATGGGTCGCTCGTAGTTTGCTGGAACCGTTGAGCGTTGAGCGGATACATATGTAACTTGGTGGGCCTAGCCATTTCGGACTCGAAAAGGTAGCCGACTAAAGCACCGCTTGTAGGAATTGATTTCTATTATATTCATTTTGAATGATGTAGCATTAAGGCCAAGTTATTATTTTCTTCGGGCATGGGGTTTCCGGTACGGAGTAGTTTATCAGGGCTTCGAATGTACTAGAACCGGGTTATCAAAGCCGAGCCTCCGCCAAGATATATTTCAAGGGGCTTAAAGTTCAAATTCGAAGAACTTTGTTGCCAATGGAGGGGTCAAATGGCAGAACATCTGGCTAAGAAGGTCAATATGGGCTGACATATAAGTTCCAATTGTAAGATTAGGCGATCATAAAATAGGAGACAAAGTCAGGGGTAAATGATCCGATATGTACGGAGTAGTAGAAAAGTGTACACTTCGTATTTCGTACTTCCCAAGATGTCACGTGGCAATACCTCACCGCCTCACCATTCTAAGAGGCTTAGCTGTTCTCTCTTAGTCCCTGGCAAATGGCGGTAACCTGCAAGAAATTCTTCTGGCAGACGGTCTGACGATCTGAGAGTCTGAGAGTCTCAGACCGTATTACCCTTACGCATTATTATGTGTGTGTGTGTCCACTTCCAACAACCTTGGAACCGGTGTTTACCCCAAGGGCTGAAGTCTGGGTCTGTGTCCTATACTTAGAACACGCCACGGGGAATCCAGGAGCCTACCGGAGAGCACTTGGACTACAATTGCATGCCTTTTTGCCTGTCGTCTGTATGTCTGACACGGTCATTGTAATCATTGTAATGCAACCTTGCAAGTAAACCCTTTAAAGTGCCTAACCCGGTCAAGGTACGTATTGCCCCCCGTACCCAGAATGGGTCTGGAGGCTCACCCCCCCAAGAATGTCCACGCAATGCTTTAGGTAGACAAGATTGAAGGGATCCAAGGGAAGGATACAAATTGAAAATGGTTCTGCCTTCTGATTAACTTACATATAAATATAAAAAAGGGCCAAAAAGAACCCAAAGTTGTAGATCGGAGGGGGTCAAAAAATAGAAGGCCTCAGGCAGCGCACAATCCCAGCCATCACAAACCCCTCTCCACTCTTCTCTCTCTCTCACTCTCTTCCTTCTTCCCTTCTCCCCTAATCCCAACTATATCCCCCCCCTCTAACCTCATTCCATCTTTCTTTTCTTTTTTTCCCTTCTCCCCCAGGTTCGTTGTTTAATCAGTCACAATGGAGGGTATGTTATTCTCGATGTGGCCACATCAGCAGCTTCCCCGGAAGCTGCCCCCCCTGTTGCCACAGCTTCGAATCCTATTTGCGAATGACAACTAACCCGTATATCTCATTACAGAAGAAGTTGCTGCTCTCGTCATCGACAATGGGTATGTGCTATGCTTTTTCCCGGGAGCTTCTGGCTGGTGTTTGGACGTCGCCGTCAAACCAGCCCGGTCGCGGTCGTTTGCCACCCCTAATCGGCCACGACGGGAGATGGAATCCATCCCAATGGCTTTCCATCTCCCTCCCCAGTTCACAAATGGCGCTTCGAAGACTACAAGAACTATGATACTGATGATTTGCGATGTAGTTCGGGTATGTGTAAGGCCGGTTTCGCCGGTGACGACGCACCACGAGCTGTCTTCCGTAAGTTCAACCCCACAGAATATGACACCCCTCCTTGCGAAGGCCATCCCACCAACCCTTGCGTCGGATGGCTTCCCCTCCTTTGCTTGGCTGGGAAGAACCTTGAATCCGAGAATCAAATACTAACAAAATTCAACAGCCTCTATTGTCGGTCGTCCCCGTCACCATGGGTAAATAATCCCCCCCCTTTTTTGTGGCTCATTTTGGCCGTGCCAATTTGATCATCAACGAAGCAACCAAAAATACTAACATGCGCGCAGTATCATGATTGGCATGGGTCAGAAGGACTCCTACGTTGGTGATGAGGCACAGTCCAAGCGTGGTATCCTCACGCTCCGTTACCCCATTGAGCACGGTGTTGTCACCAACTGGGACGACATGGAGAAGATCTGGCACCACACCTTCTACAACGAGCTCCGTGTTGCCCCCGAAGAGCACCCTATTCTCTTGACCGAAGCTCCCATCAACCCCAAGTCCAACCGTGAGAAGATGACCCAGATCGTGTTCGAGACTTTCAACGCACCCGCATTCTACGTCTCCATCCAGGCCGTTCTGTCCCTGTACGCCTCCGGTCGTACCACTGGTATCGTTCTCGACTCCGGTGACGGTGTCACCCACGTTGTCCCCATCTACGAGGGTTTCTCTCTGCCCCACGCTATCTCGCGTGTCGACATGGCTGGCCGTGATTTGACCGATTACCTGATGAAGATCCTCGCTGAGCGTGGTTACACTTTCTCTACCACTGCCGAGCGTGAAATCGTCCGTGACATCAAGGAGAAGCTTTGCTACGTCGCTCTCGACTTCGAGCAGGAGATCCAGACCGCTTCCCAGAGCTCCAGCCTTGAGAAGTCCTACGAGCTTCCCGATGGACAGGTCATCACTATTGGCAACGAGCGCTTCCGTGCTCCTGAGGCTCTCTTCCAGCCTAACGTTCTTGGCCTCGAGTCTGGCGGTATCCACGTCACCACCTTCAACTCCATCATGAAGTGTGATGTTGATGTCCGTAAGGATCTGTACGGCAACATTGTCATGGTAAGAAAAGCCTTTGGAATAAAACTTGGCGAAACTCCCACTAACATATACCTCTCTTTAGTCTGGTGGTACCACCATGTACCCCGGTATCTCCGACCGTATGCAGAAGGAGATCACTGCTCTTGCTCCTTCTTCCATGAAGGTCAAGATCATTGCTCCCCCCGAGCGCAAGTACTCCGTCTGGATCGGTGGATCCATCCTCGCCTCCCTGTCAACCTTCCAGCAGATGTGGATCTCCAAGCAGGAGTACGACGAGAGCGGTCCTTCCATCGTTCACCGCAAGTGCTTCTAAGCTTCTTGCAGCACTTTACTACTCGTATTCACTCGTACTTTCCTGGTGTATCAAAAAGCAGGATGGAGGCACTGGTGGATTGCAAGCGTTGTTGGACTCGCATTATCAAGCGGATAGCCTGAAAATGGAATCTCGATTTTAGTGGAATAGAGTCGGTCGTTTTCTTTTTGTTACTCTTTACCTTACTCTTTATCTCGATCTCTCTATCCATCCATCTCTGCTTTGAGACATTTTACCTCTTCAATTTTTTTTTTTTCCTCTTTCAAATCCGCTGTCCCGTTCACCTCTCTGATTGTTTTGCCTAGACGGGTTGATGGCACTGCGCAGACAATGCTGTACCTGTAGGGCGAGGATGTATATGGTGTTGGGTATAGGGATTAGGCTGCGTTTTTCCTTTACTCGAGACGTCAAGGACGTCTGTCTTTGTTCTAGTTCCTTGTCTTGTCTTAAACCAAATTGCCCGACTTTGTCCGTAGTTTTAACGTGACTTTGACTGAAAATCTTCTTCTCTGGTTTCTTGTATCCTAGAAATGTTGTCGACGAATTCTACGCCTGTTGAATCGTGGTGTCCTCTATGCATTACTGGTTTTCTTCAAGAACTTCATTATTCGCGTTGGCCTTTTTATATTGGATCTTTATCATGTCCGATATACATTCAGTCATTCTATATAGATCTGCTAGGCACTAAAGAAGCAATATGGTATAGGTAGGAAACAATATATCAACATTGAATCTATATATTCCCGTCTTCCACTCCACTCCAACTCATGACCGTTAAATGTACTATCATACTTCAGCCCTCGATTCAAACACATCTTCTTCTTTACTATTTACTCTCGCTATCCAAGTACATAGCCTGATTATCAGCAGGGACGTGCTCACAGGTAAACTTAGCACTTCACATCACCAACGCCCTTATTCAACAGTAAAGAGGTTGTGTAAGTTGTAGTTACTAAACATGCGCTTGCAGGCTAAAGACACAAAGCCGTTTTAGTAGAAAAAGACCAATGGGCCTGAGATGCTGGATATTACCACGGGCAATCGGCTGACTAGCATTACTACATGGTGTAGTCGTTACTCCTTTTTGCTCACGTACTACATTAAGTATAGAGAATGTAGACATGATTTCCAGTTCGGTCTCTTCATCGGATACATAAAAGATTATAGTAGGGACGGCTATATGGCAGCAGAAGGGAGGTTGAGGAAGTCAAGTGAGAAGGGGATTATGAACGGGATCAGGGAAAGGGTTGAATGAGAGCCATGTAAGGTGAATGTGAAGGTTAATTGGAAAGAGAGTAGGATGAGAGTAGAATGAGGCGGTGGTGACACTTGGAGTAAGACATGGCGCGGACCAGCAGAGGATCAATTTCTTCTTCGCTCGATGGGCCTCATCAGCGATAACCAAGCCGAAACGTTTCTCAAGGTGTGTGGTCCAGTGCCCGCTGTCATCTCTTGTGAAGTGTGACTGTGCTTGAGCACCCAAGGCCGTTTCCTGATCAGGATGGTCACGGTCACAAATGGCAGACTGAAGCACTACATGATGACTGGGTCCCCCATAGGCCATCTATCACAATAGATGTCGCCAGTGATGTCAAAGTCCGCTGGCCATTTGGTATGGCGATGACGAACAATAACCGTGTTTTGCCCGATGATGAGGAAAACGAGGGCATCTTTTCCCTTTTTTGCCCGCTGTATACCTTTCATTGCGGTTGTAGATCCAGATTCCTTGTATCTGCTATCTTTTGAACCCGGTATTCACGGAGAAGGGGGCCAGAAGAATCTCGGAGGGGATTGCAGGGATTTTCTCTGAGACGCTGCCCATTCGCGAACTGCCTTGTTAGAGCTATGAATGGCATCGGTGAATGTCTGCTGTATAACCATCTCCCCTAGTTGAGTAGAGAAGCCCTGTTATAAATGACGATGAGAAGACTGGAAGAGACAGGAGTGGGGGGTTAGAGGGAGGTGTCCTGGTTTATATAGTAGGAGACGCGAAAGTTGGAAGAATCAGAGTATCAGCTCAGCTATACAGCAGTACAGCGTACATCCAGTATATATATGTAGATCAATGGAATTCTTTCCAGTATGTATAATTTTGTGCATCATGTAGGAAAATTGGCGTTAGTTCAGGACAAATTCAAAAGGCCTATATATTATTATAGGCAGCCCCAGGCAGAGAAGAAAGACGGGGAATACGAAGAACCAGAAAAAAATAAACAGTAAACAAAAAAAAAAAAAATCAATCTATAAGATAGATAACCCAGGAAAATCATTTTCTCCATCCATATATAAAGCATCATGCATCAAATCAACATCACAATCAATATCAAATTTTAACGTCAATATCGTAGATATTACGCAGACCAAGACTCAAGTCCAGACAGCACACAACCCTCTTCACCCTCGGCGCGAGCACGCAGCTCACCAACGCGGTAAACAGACTCACCAGCAGCCTCGAAGGTCTGACGGATAGCAGCCTCAGAGGCAGGGTCGACGGCAATGATCATACCAACACCACAGTTGAAGGCACGAGCCATCTCAACGGAGGAGACGTTACCGGCACGCTGGAGCCAAGTGAAGACGGAAGGCTGGGCCCAGGTGCTAACATCAACCTGAGCAGTCAGGGAATCGGGAAGCATGCGGGGGATGTTCTCAGTGAGACCACCGCCGGTGATGTGGGCAAGACCCTTAATGGCAGAGCCGTGGGTGTTCAGTGCGCTGAGGATGGACTTAACATAGATACGAGTAGGGGTGAGGAGGGCACGGCCAACGGAGACGCCGGCGTCGAGACCGGGCATGGAGAAAGGTGCGGGATCGGTGTAGCTCAGACCGGCACGCTCGACGATCTTCCGGACGAGAGAGTAGCCGTTGGAGTGGGGGCCGGAGGAGGCGAGGGCGAGAAGGACATCGCCGGAGCGCATGTTTTCTGTGTGCGGGAGGATGGCACGAGCGTTGTCGCCCGTGGTGTTGATAGCGCCGACAGCGGCACCGACGGCGTCGTAGGAGTCGTCAACGAAGAGGCCGGGCATCTCAGCGGTCTCACCGCCAATCAAAGCGCAACCGGCTTGGACACAGCCCTCGGCAACACCGGTGACGAAGGCCGCAGCGGTGGGGACGTCGAGGTGACCGCAAGAGTAGCAGTCCAGGAAGAAGAGGGGCTCGGCACCTTGGACGACGAGATCGTTGACGTTCATGGCGACGAGATCGATACCGACGGTATCGTGGATGCCAATGGAGTGGGCGATCTTGAGCTTGGTGCCGACTCCGTCAATGGCTCCGATTAGGGTTGGCGAGTGGGGGTGGTAGACGGAGTTGGCAGCGGGCAGAGAGAAGAGACCACCGAAGCCACCGATGACGGCGTCAGTGCCGGGGCGCTTGGTGCGGCGGACGGAGCTCTTGATCTGGTTGACGAGTTCGTTGCCAGCGTCGATGGAGACACCGGCCTGGGCGTAAGTGAGCGAGGTGTTGGCGGTCTGGCGGAACGCGCGGTGGGCAATGTCCTTGCGGTAGAACATATCCTCAAAGCTGATGGTCTTGATGCCCTCGTAACTCTTAGCAACAGCCTCCTCAAGGGTTGAGGCGGTGGCCGTGGAGGCAATCACACGGCCTCCAGAGGTCTGCAACTCGTTGCCAGACAGAGTTGTGCCAGCGTGGAAAATGAGGGTTCCAGCAGGCGTGGGGGCCAGAGTGATGGTCTTGCCCTTCGCGTAAGCGTTGGGGTAGCCGCCAGCAACAGCAATAACGGTGGTGGAGAAGTTGGGCTCGATCTTGATCGAGACGCCGTCCAGCCAGTGGTCAGCACAGGCCACCATGATCTGTGCAAGATCGGTGTCCTTGCTGAGCAAGGGCAGCAGAGTCTGGGTCTCTGGGTCTCCACCGCGGACGTTGTATTCAAGGACCTTAGGTCCGTTCTTGGTCATCATGAGACCGGTGAACAAGATACCAACGAAGGGGAAACCTAGACAGGATTAGCAACATGTTTTTGGAAATGCATCTCTTCATCAAACATACCATCCTTTCGCATTCCGTCAATGGAAGGCTGAATAATGGTGCGGTCAATCTCATCGACAACCTCCTTCGGCGCAATGCGCGTAGGCGCATAGCAGCCCATGCCACCAGTGTTGGGGCCTTGGTCTCCATCGAAGATGCGCTTGTGGTCCTGCGCCGGAGGAAGCGAGCGAATAGTATAACCATCACTGAAAGTAAGGATACTCAGCTCATCACCCTCCAAGCACTCCTCGATCACGACCTCGTTGCCAGCCTCGCCGAACTGGTGGTCCACCATGATTTCCTTCAAGGCCTTGTGGGCCTCCTCCTTGGTGGTGGGCATGATCACACCCTTACCACCAGCCAGACCATCAGCCTTGATCACCACATTGTGCGACACAGAGTCGATGTAGCGACGTGCGGACTCGTAGTCAGAGAAGTTTCCGAATTCGGCGGTGGGGATCTGGTGACGCTGCATGAAGTCCTTGGAGAAGGTCTTGGAGCCCTCCATGCGGGCAGCGGCCTTGGAGGGACCGAAGCATCGAATGCCGACTATTTTTGAATGCCATTGTTAGAATAACTCAAAGCAATTGGTGTATAAAGGCCAAAAAAAAAAACAGCCAAGAAAAAAGGAAGAAAAAAAAAGGTGGGATGCGTGACTCACCAGCCTGGAAATAACCCTGGATGCCATCAACGAGAGGTGCCTCGGGGCCTGGCACCACGAGGTTCACCTGGTTCTTCTGTGCGAAAGCCACGAGGCCGGGGTAGTCATCACCCTTGACATTGGCATTGGTGATCTTGCTGTTGGTACCCAGGCCTGTGCCACCGTTTCCGGGAGCGACATAGACAATGTCGACCAGAGGGGACTCGCTCAGCTTCCAGGCGTAGGCATGCTCACGGCCACCATTGCCGACAATGAGGATGCGCAATTGTTCGGAGGCCATGGTTGAAGAAGCGTCTCGACTATGGTGGTGTTAGCAATTAGTATATAGAAAACCTCCGCGGGGTATGTAATGCCCCTCCTTCAAGGAAAGCGAGTCGTATAGCAATGGAATGGGGCGAAACAATTGGGAAATATTTGACGATAAGAAAATTAACATATTACTTACCTCACAGAGACCTGAGAAGCAACTTCCAAGGTTGTATTGGGGGGAATGGGAGATTTGAAGATGTTAAACTTTCCAACTTTTTTTCTGCCCTCCGGCTGGGTGTTTCTCCGACCCCAGAATTTCTTGGGATCTCGGCTGAGGCAAATATTTTATACTTCTGATTCAAGGTGAATTCGAATGGATTGAATAAAATTTAATGGACTTAAACGGGTTTGACAGTTTAGGACTGATTTAATATGTCTTATATTATAGTATTAAATCTAGATAGGAGTGGGTATAGGATTCTATACAATTGCAAATAGATCTCTCTTGTACAATATAATTCTAAGAAACATGGTTTTTATTAGTTATTTTATATAAATATAGTACACTTGCGCTCCATTAAAATATGAGTTAACTACATCAAAAAACAAAATTAAGTCCAATATTCAGTCCTACTATCGTTTCATCTCTTCAATAGATATCGCCACCTCAGGCATCCAGGCACCTAGATAACAAAGCGGTGACCCCAATCTTCCGGCAGAAAAAAAAAACCGGAGAGGCAATTCCAAGGTTCGCCCGGTGGCTTATTGACGGCTTTATTGAATTCTCGAATTCTCCATTCCAACTACTTTTGGGGGGGATTCTACACTTCTACACTTTCCCAGATTCTCCGTTGACAGTTGACCTGAATGCTTCGGACCTCTTTGCGGTCTGTGTCAGGCCCTTCAAGCCGACATGTTCGTCTCTCCTGTCTAGCGCGCCCTGGCGCGCCCAGTTTGCGCCAGTTTCACCGTATATCTGCACTTCATACCGATTCAGTTGAAACCAACCTGGAAACAAATTCATTTAACGCGTCGACCGAGCCTTCAGTGCCATTGCCGCTTAATGTATGTCCTCCATTCTTAAGTACGTGAGCAAACGAGTCCTGACATAGAGTGTGTGCTATAGGATCAGATCCCAGCGGCAAAAGATGTCGCCTCCAACAAGCCCCATAACCCCCAGCCGTTGGAGGAACAGAAACCGCCCACTGCTTCCGAATGGGCTGGGATGAAGGCAAGACAAAGATATAAATACAGAAAACGGTATCCCTTGCTCTACAACAAGTTCAAGATGGAAGTATTAAACAAAGACATTACACCCTCCCAAGCAGCACAATCAGAGGGACCACCATCAGAGGAAGCCGCGTCAGAAGAAACTGCGTCACAAGAAACCCCGTCAGAGGCAGCGCGGGTGGAAGCAGAAAAAATCAAGGCCTTGCAACAAAAGGTGATTGAAGCGGATATGGAAGCCAAACGGGAAAGAAAGGCCAAAATCAAGGCTCAGACGTTGAAGAAAAAGGAGAAAGAAAGTCAACCCGAAGCTGAGATTCCAACAGACGGCGCATCAGATACGCCAGCATCTAGTGAACCCAAGGAGAGCACCCTCAGCTTGAAGTCCACTAGCGATGTAGTGACTCAGACATTGGACACAAGCTCCAAGAGCGATGTTGCTAGTCAAAATGAGCCAGAGGAGGAGACGAAGGATAGGGAAATCCTTTGGTTTATGAGAAACCATATCACGTCCAAGGACCGTGGGACTCTGTACTCAAAGGACCAGAAGCTGTGGTTGAAAGGTGAGTTTTGAGCTCTAGTATAACCGTTGGATGTGGGCTAATCTTCCACTCAAGAGTTACCTGTCCCCCTGCCTCCTGTCCCACGCGTCGCCTTTGGTCTCGACCGAGTGCTTTTCAAGTGAGTTGTTGAGTCTACCCTATCACGGATCGATATACTAAGACCAGACAGTCCCGGTGTCTACCAGCTACGTGACCCTCGGTCTCTTGTCTACAATTTCGACCCCTACCTAGACCAAATCATGCCCGTGACGGAATTTGACTTTAGTGCCTTGAAGCCGTATGTCACCTCCTCTCAAGATGTGACGGCTTGCGAAATGACAGAGAAACACGGAAAGAAATACTACGGCTCGTCGTCTAGCATGACTTCGGTTCTCGCGCATTTCCATTTTCTTCTGTCCGCGTGGCGACCTGTCGACGTTACCAAAATTTCACGTGGTTTCGAAGACCCTATGCGGACCTTCACCCGCCTCCTTCGAGCGCCGACTGCCATGTTCCTCCGTTATAAGGAAAAAGAGGATATTTACGCCATTGATGCCGACAAGGAATACGATTACGCTAATATTCTCATGAACCTGGGCAAGTCAATGGAGAAGCAACTCACGATGCCAAAAGAACAATTTGAGCGCTACCGCCGCAGTGATCCAAACAAGATCACCGCCGAGGAAGAAGCAGCCACCCCGGAGTCATACCACTACAGCACCGCAGGTAAATTCCTCTTGCGATCTCAACTCGACGCCTACGACCCTAGACTGCCAGGTACCGGCATGTTCGACTTGAAAACACGTGCAGTGGTTTCGATCCGTATGGAAGCCACCGACCACGAGCGCGGAATGGGTTACGAGATCAGACGCCGCTATGGCAAATGGGAGTCCTATGAACGCGAATACTTCGATATGATCCGCGCCGCCTTCCTCAAGTATTCCCTGCAGGTTCGCGTTGGCCGCATGGACGGCATCTTCGTCGCGTACCACAATATTGAGCGCATCTTCGGTTTCCAATACATCCCTCTTGACGAGATGGATCAGGCTTTGCACGGCACACCCAACACCGCACTCGGAGACAAAGAATTCGAACTGAGTCTCGCCCTGTGGGAGAAGATCCTCGACAAGGCAACAAAAAAGTATCCCAAGAAATCTCTACGTTTCCACTTTGAGACCCGGGAAGCTACCGTACCCTACATGACTATCGTCGCGGAGCCCGTCACGGACGAGCAAATCGATGCCATCCAGACAAAGAACAAAGCCCACATAGATGCCATCCAAGACCGTCTCCTCAACCCGGAGCAATATATTGACAGGACCCCGGAGGCAGCCATGGTGGGCTCAGCTGAGGAGCTCGCCGACGAATCCCTCTATCCAGAGGAGGAGGAAGAGGAGGAGCTTCCCGAAGCCGAAGCCGAAGCCGAAGCCAAATATTCAATTGAAAGCGAATTCCGCCTTGAAGATGGTGAGCTAGCCGAAGCCGAGGCCGAAGCCGAGGCCGAAGCCGTCAACGTACAGAAAGATCCCAACACCAAATCCCTGGCCGAGACTCTCTTCCCCGAAGAGGAAGGCGAGGAATTATCCGAAGCCGAAAAGTCCGAATACCACCCCTCGATCGAGACCGAGCAGACGCCGGAGCCGATTGATCCCACCAAGACCGTACCAAAGCGCGATCCCTTCGTAGAGGACGACGTCGACGAGGACGTCCTCGGGATGATTCTTGTTATTCACAACAACGTGAACGGTGTTGCCGTGGAGCGGCCGACGTGGTTCACCGTGAACGACAACTGGGATATCGACTACGAGCTCAACGAGCTTAGTTTGAAGGAGAGTAACGAAGCTCTGCGGACGTGCAAGAGACGCCGTAATCAGGTATTGAGAAAGAGTGTGACGGATCATGAGGCTGGTTTCTTCCGCACTATAAAACATATGACTAGCAAAGGACGTGCCTGGCGGAAGCGGATGGATGAGAAGGATCGTGAGCGTGGAATTCTTGTTTATAAGGATTCTTGTGACATGTGAGGTGTTACTAGGTCCTCTGGTTTGTATGGGAGGAGGAATCGGGGAGTGAGAGGGGAATCTCCGTTTTGTAAAGTATTAGATTAATTCCTCTCCCATTGTACTTTATTTTGAGATATACATTCATGGCGTTGGATGTTTGGGTGTTCTTGTTCATTGTGTACAAAGGTTGGCTGGGATCTGGCATATATAGAGGATCATGTCATATATATCGACTCTTTGGTCTTTCCATTCCTTTTTTTTTTCTGCGCTGCACTTTTTAATATGCCCTTCTCGTGTGACTAAACGGTGTCGGCGAGGACATACTAACATAGACTAGAAGCCAAGATGAATATATACTGATTCAATTTGATTTAAACCTCGCCCTCTTACTGAAAGACTTCTATAGCTTTTATAGTCCCTGTTAGGATTCCAAAAGGCCTCTAAGCAAAGATTCCTCCTTTTCCAAAAGCACCTTAGGGTCATCGAATTCCACGCACTTACCATCGGCCATGACAGCGACACTATCATAATCCACTATCGTATTTAAGCGATGTGTAATTACGATGATTGTTTGGTCTGTAAACTCGGAGGTGATGATGGCTTGTATCAGCTTGTCCATTCCAAGGTCCACACTGCACAGAAAGGAGAAGGAGAAAAGATTAGCATATGAACACACAGCCAGACTCAGATGTTAGTATATAAAGTAGGTATATAAATAGGACACTTGAAATAGTGCCAAAAGTACTCCGTAGCCATTTTTCAGTGCTCAATTGACCGTCACCTAGCGTTGTATAAAAGCATCATTGTATTCATCTATCATGTAAATCTCTAGACAAGATACAGCCAACTACTCACTCTTATCGGAGATTAGAAAACCAAGCAGAAAGGAAGAATGGTGTTTAATGCCTATCCAAACAGTATTCAATCCCCCCAGAACGAGAAAGGAAGAACAAGGAACAAGCGTAACGCAAAACACCACCACAATAAATATCAAACAGCCCAAGCCCCAATAAACATTAGCCACGGATGCACGCACGAGCGCCATTAACTTGCAAAACGAGGACACTTCCCAAGAGTAAGAGAGCAAAGAACAGACCAAGCAATAAAACGGATAGGAGGATATTGATCGGAGAATATCGATTGCGTTGGGAAGAGATATTGGCATAGAAATTGAAAATTGAAAATGAGGAAGTATGGAACGCCTGGAGAATGCGGTGTCTGTCTCTGGTAAAAAAAAGAAATTGGAACGCCAGGGTATCAGAGCCGACTGGCCGGTTTCGAGAAATGGGAATTGGTTCGGGGTTGGGTGGTTGATGAGTTATGAGTTAATGAGTAAGATAAAATATGATTCACAGGGAGAAAGAGAAAAAAAAATCAAAAACAAAAGGGTATGCAATCACAACCTGGTTCATCGTATATATGTACTGCGAGAGCCAGGCTTCGTTTCGTGTTGGGTTGAGGTGTGGAGGATGCTGTACAAGGTAGAAGAGGGGGTATTTTGATATGTTGATAGGAGGTAGGGAAGGCTACTGGAGCCCTCCCAAGTCAAGCTTAGGTGGCGCCCAGTCTAGCTGGGGTGGCTTGTCATTATTGACGCACACAGGCGAGGGGCGTGCCGCATCGGCACGGCGACGTTCCCTCAACGCGGTACCGCTGAGGAAGCCTCTCAACGTGGACGAGGCAACGCCGTAGGCGCTTCGAGTACTGCCTGCACCTATTGAGGCGTTGCTGGAGGAACTGCGTGCACTACGGACACTCTCTGCTTTTCCGACTGCCCGGGGAACGGCTGGAACCGGGAGAGCTAGGTGAGAGGTTTGGCTTGAAGAACCATGGCCTGATGGAACGAATTGTGCAGGGGCGGCGGTATGAGGGCGGCGGGTATCGGATGGAATGCGTTTTGGTTGGACGGGGGTGGTCTCGATGTCCGACGAAAAGTGGGATGGGGTGTTGGATGCCTCTGAAAGTCGGATGACAGCAGGAGGCTCGTCTGGTGGCGAGGACCGGATCTCATCTGCCGACACGGACACATCGAATTTGAGATTGTCAAGCATTGTGCCCAAGCTCGCTGCTGTTCCGGGTCGTTCATCGCTGGTAGCATCGTCATCAACTTGCTCGATCCCATGGGCAATGTTGTAGTTGCGGAGGAGGTATCGATTAAGCCGTGAGACTTCCATATCCCATCTCTCGTTCAGAGATCGCAAGACTAGTTCAACGTTATGACTGGCGAATGGGGAGTTTTCCAAGGCCGAAGCGACACTAGGCGGAGGTGTTTTGCTCAGTTTGTTATGCCCTTGCCCACCTTGACCAACACTCATCGCGGCATACAGAGAGCGACGGACCGAGTTGGCTGTCGAAGATTGGTGGCTGTTGCTAGACTCCCATCGAACATTATCAACCTCTCGGCGTACTTTGTCCAGTGACAGGACTCGATCCCGGTCCATGCAGGAGAGAGTGAGAAGAGAGCGGTTGCACCGAAGGCCGTTGACCAACACCGTAAAGGACTGCAGATTGATATCATTGTTCTCACAGTGTACTTCACGCAGCGAATCATTCTCTTCTAAGACCGAGGCAAGCGTATTGGCACCTTGAAGGCCAAGTTTCTGGTGCTCAATTCTCAGGACCTTTAGAGATGTGTTTCTCTTCAGACCAGTCAATGCAAGGTTAAGACCAATGCCGAAGCGTGCAACATCAAGGTGCGCATTATCACCGCTAATGTCCAAAGCTTCAAGAGTCTCATTCTCCTCGAGCATCACCTGCAACGAGCGACAAGTCTCAGGACTAGCATCGTATGGGAGAGAAGCCTTTGAGATATCCAGAAACTTGAGGGTGCTGTTCTTCCGAAGAGAATCCACCAGTTCACGGAAATGGTCTTCTCTCTTGAAATCAATCATGCGCATTGACAGATGCGAGGGGGTCTGATTCTTCGCAATAGCGCTAAAAACGTGAGTGCAGCCGTTGTCAATGCGGTTCTCATTGACATGCAGATGGAGACTGCGCGGGGAATCAGGTCCAACAGACATCGAGTGCATAAACATAGCCACGTCTTCTCCAGTCAAACCGCACTGATCGAGACGAAGCACACGAAGGTTTCGAGAGCGATCACTAGCCAGGTACGTAGCAATAGCATCCACGGTCTCGCGGTTCACAACCGTCCGACTGAGAGCCAGCTCTTCGAGTCGCCAGTTGAACAGCATTTCGGCCGTGATGAGCGGGTCGCTGCCAGACGTCCGCGAAATGCGAGATAAATTAATTTTGCGGATTTGTCCGAAGTAGCCAATGTATTGCTGGAGTACATCGGGATTCAACCGGCCCTGCACACCTGAGATGTTGATCGCCTCGAGTGTTGATTCTTGTGCGACGATAGTCGAGAGGAGAAGATCTAGGTCATGCACGGATAATCCACAGTCTCCGACCTCTAAAGCGCGCAGGTGGCTACGTCTTTGCGAAGCTGCATCGACAAGATAGTCCAGATCCGACTCACCCAGCTTGATGCCGTTGAGAACAACCCAGTCCACGCTGGTCAATTCTCGGCGGCACACGGGGAAAATCGCTTCTGGAATCCCGCAGCCTGGGTCACGAGTACCCTTGTCGAGAGTCGGTGTCGGTATCCGTGTAAGACAATAAGAGAAGTCGAGTCGGCGCAGCCATTTGCTCTTTAGAGCCAAAGCTCGCACCTCTTGCGAGAGAACAGTCAGATTCGCCTGGCCCGGAATGTGCACGGAAGCGCCTCCTCGGTCGAGATGGACGTCAGAATCCACCCCATGAATATCACGAAGACCCTGCAATGCATCCAGATTGACCCCACGGAACGAGATTGACCGGAAGAATTCATTGTAGCGAAGTGTGCGCATGACCGCAATGAGTTCTAAAGCGTTGTACCGTGGGGTTTTCGGGGAAGCAGGCTTCAAGAGACGGAAGCATGGAGCATCCTCGCATTCCTGGTCGATTGTGTATCGGATATTTGATGTGTCGATGTCATAACTGGCGGAATAGGCGACCAGCGTGCGGTCGAAGCATCCATAATCTTCATCTAAAGCAACAGGTGGGAAGTTGTCGTCATTTTGCAATTCTTTGGGAACAACGAATTCGTACGGCTGTCTTATCCACAACGGACGGAGATATTCAGTTTGTTGTCGGATCCAACAAGCGACTTCAACAGAATGAACAGAGGCCAGGAACACATTGAATGATTTCTTAAGAGGAACCCTAAAAGTCAGATGCAGACTGTCATCACCGTACTCCATCGACAAACCAGTGAGATTCATCAGACCAAATGAAGTACCGGCCTCCCAGTCTGAGAGGGACACGACCGATGATCGATTGGTTGTCTTCTGCATAGGCAGCATATGAAGTTTGTGTGCGCCGATGGCAAGATAGCAGCCCGTGGGGGACAGCTTGGTCAGGTCATCGGAGGAAGAGCGCGTGATTGACTTGCTGGACGCGATTTGAATGACCCGGAACATGCGGAACACCTCCGGGTCGTAATCTCGCTCATGTTCTAGCATACGAGTTACATACTCAATCGATCCCCTGTTAAATGGCATTGGATAATTTGCTCTAGCCATCTGAGCAGCTTGACGAATGCCTACCATCCAAAGGTTCAATTCTTGCAGATCAGATGTCTGCATTTGAACCAATGTGGCTTTGTGTGTGCGCTCATCGAGATAGGCCACCTCGACTGATGGGGACAATCGTGCATCCTCCAGCATGTAGACCGCAATTATGCTGTTTAATGGGATTCCGGCAGATGCATCTCCAGAGGCCATTAATTGCATGTCCTGCAGAGAATTGACTGAAGCTATTGATTGGCGATGGGAAGCTGGAGCGCGGGTATAAGAAGCGGGAATAGAACCAAACACATCGGCGGCTTTGCTTTGATTCTTAAATCGGATGAGGTGGGTATCTGTAAGGACCAAATATTGGCTCTTTTTCCTCCACATGCCGCCCGTAGTCTGAACCTCCCCGTGGTGGAGGATTGCGGATGACCAGATCCCATTTCGGGGACTGGCCATGGTCGGTTCGTCCACCGCCGAGCCAACGGAGGTACCCAGAGGTTCCTCATCTTCCCATGAGTGCAATGACCTCAGGGATCCAAACACGGAGGTTCGCTTTTTCTGTAGCGACTTCCTCCGCGGGCGAGGTGTTGTTTCATTGACAGGCGTGGTCGCTATGGGTGTGGATGCTGACCAGCCGCCGGTGTCGGAGCCTGCTGTCCCAGGGCGGCGGTTATTCGATCCATCAGAGGCTATGTTGGGACTGTGAGACCGGCCGAAGAAACCAGAATTCCGTCGGGTTTTCTTGTCTCTGGTCAAGGTATCGTCCGAGGGCGTTCGGTCGTGGAGTGGAGGCCGGAAGGAGGTCGATATTGTGAGAGACGGACTGAATACGCTCAGGCTCTTTCTTCGTTGTCGTTTGGCGGTGATTTCAGCCATGTCTGGTTCGGTGGGTGGGACTAGTGGTACAGAAGCAGGGGGAAGTTGCGTAAGGTGTTGGAAGAGTAGCGGCGCGAGTGTACTGAGAAAAGAAGCTTATCTCATCGACGACCTCAACGTCGTTGGTACTGGTCGATCAATTAGCAGTTTGAAGAATCATGACGGGCAATATTGAATGTGTGATAAGGAGGAAGAATGAAGCGGAGAAAGAATGAGGGGAAGGTAGCACATACTGCAGACTGTCACAGCGCCATGAGAAGCAATTAGCGTGCAATTGCTAAAGACCGGAAAATTCTTCCCTATATCTAGGATATCTTTTCCCCAGACACAGTCAGGGAGCTGTCAACAATGCGATGGAGGTGATGGTTGCGGAAGGAGGAGAATCCACAATATTGGTGATATCAGGCAAATCAGGGAAATCGGTGCTCTAATGTGATTTGATAGGCTCTTCCGGCAGGAGATCAGTTGACGGAGGGGAAGATAAGAATTCCGATTGAATGCGTAAAAACGAAAACAGCAAAATGAACCCACAGGTATAACCCTCGAAAAGAGAAGAGAGGGAAAAGGAGAGGAAGAATAGAGGAATGGACGGATGCAGTCAGGTCCAACTGTAACGATCAACTGGAGATGTTTCAGCTGTGTTTTTTTTCCCCCCAATGTTTTTTTTTTCTTTTGGACTACATGTATTTTTTAATTTCTTTTCTTTTCTTTTTAATTTCAATGTTATATTGTATTCTATTCAAATATACTCGGTAGTCAATATTCATCTTTGAACAAGCTCGCTTACATTTTAATATGAAGCTATCGCTTATTTACACCCTAAAAGTGAGAACAAGTGAGAAAAAGCGAGTAAAAAAAGCCCGAGACATGCGTTCACGACTCGCATATCTTTTAGTCGATTTCTAGTACCAAGGGTAGCACGTAAGAGGCGCTCCACTAGATTTGATAGTGCCGCCATAGCAGGGACTACAGGGATTAGTGCAGTAGAAACTAAATTGGACTCCTCTTTAGTAACCGTCTTTGGCATATCGGTGATGATCATGGTGATCATTGATCTTTCTTTGTACTCCAGAACAACATTAGAAGCTACATACAAAGGTATATACAGATGATGTACTAAATTGCTCATCTTATTATATTTACACTAAAATTGACAATAACATGTTCATTTCACTGGGATCCACCCCCAAAGGATGATCGGCATTTACGACATTTACGACACTCCAGATGCTGCTTTCGTAGGGGTAATCTCTCGGGCCCACGCGAAAGAGAGATCATAATAGATCAGCATGGCAATCAGGGGGGGGATAACCCCAGGAATCTGGCGTCATCGATGACGAAGTTCATTCGGGATCAGCAGTTGACGGACGCAGCTACAGAGGATTCATCTCGGTTCTGCGAGGCCTTGCAGGGGTTGGAAAATGACTGGGAAATGAGAATCGGGTCATCCGAGGGGGATTCCCGACAGAGCGGATGTATTGTGTTCGGTGATGGAAAGTTCCAAGCTCCAAGCTCACGTAGTTGCAAAATCCAGTCAGCGATATCTCTCAAAACTCGTCATTACCGACGATTCCCCTCCGCCCTTTCAGCCTCAAGTCGCTCCGCACGTTTAAGCCGTCTCAATAGCTCGATGTATTCCGTCACGCGTTTCTCTTGCCAGATACAACCACCCAGAGTCATGGCCGCAACCTGGATGAAGACCTTGAACTGCGGCGTTAGACCGCGGTAGACACGCGACCCGGGGGATATCCAGCTTGAGAAACCCTCCAGGGGCCGGTGGAATAGTCGTGAACGGAGATAGTCGCGGGAGAAGATGGACGGGCGTGGACGGGGTTGTGTCGCGGGATACGCGGGCGGACTTGGTGCGGAGAAGACGAAGGGGTGGGGCAGGGCAAGAATCATATGGGCCAAGATGGACACGGAGCCAAACTTGACAAGATTAGCGATTGCATTAGGGTTTGGATTGGAGGTCCGGTGCTTACCCGGAACACGCCGGTCATGAAGCCTTGAGCGGCTATCGAGGTGATTTCCTCCGGGGGTGCAACATCGCTCCTGTGGTCGTGTGGTGTTGGCATTCTGGTATATATATGTGCAGTCGCAAGTACTGGTGAACGAGAGGGGCCAGTTTGGCTTTGGTAAGAAATTGAGATGGATGGCGGTTCTTATCGAGGCCCGAGTTCGGCGAAACGATAAACAAAGTAAAGACACAAGAAGATGTCTGTTTCAGACCTCAATGGGAAATATAAAAGACAATATCAAATATCAAAGATGTGAAGGATGTCAAGAATAAAAGCCTGGACCAGCCAGTGTCTTAAAACCTGCTAACCCTAAGTCTGAAGTATACATTTCCAAGGTTATCATCTCCATACAAAAGTACGGATCAATGATTCTCCAGCGGACGAGTCAGACAAAAAAGAACTCCGATTATCAACCATCTACTCCATACAAAACACCGACTCAATTACATTTGTCAATTCGACCTACACCAAACCCCCAAATACACCATGTCTCTCGCCGCACGTACAGCGACCATCTCCCGGGCGACCAACGAGACCAAAATCCAAATCTCTCTCTCCCTCGACGGCGGCGTCCTCCCACCCTACGAACCCTCAACCCACTTCCCCGCCCCAACAGACCCCAAAGAAGCCGAAGCCTCCAAGAAAGGCATTGTGCCACCCAAGGAAGCCAGCCATGCGACCCAATTCACACCTACCCAGCAAATCACCATCAGCACCGGTATCGGATTCCTCGACCACATGCTGCATGCGCTCGCCAAGCACGGCGGGATGAGTCTTGCGGTTCGCGCGAAGGGTGATTTGTACAGTGAGTTCCCCTGCACACTACACATGGAATAACTCCATAAGCCCTACAATATGGGGAATACCAAAGCCCTACAATATAAAATACAAATACTAACCCAAACCAGTTGACGACCACCACACAACAGAAGACACCTTCCTCGCCCTCGGCGAAGCCTTCACACAAGCCCTAGGCGCACGACAATCGCTAGAGCGCTTCGGTCGCGGTGATGCGCCCCTTGACGAGGCCCTCTCATGGGCCGTGATTGACCTGTCCAGCCGACCCTGGGCTGTTATCAACCTCGGTTTCAAACGCGAGAAGATCGGCGATTTGAGCACTGAGATGATCACGCATGGATTGCAGAGCTTTGCGCAGGCTGCGGGTGTTACGTTGCATGTTGGTTGCACTTATGGTGATAATGACCACCACCGTGCGGAGAGTGCGTTTAAGGCGCTTGCCGTTGCTATTCGCAATGCTTGTAAGCGGAGGGTTGCGGGCGATGTTGGTGCTGGGGATGTTGTTAGCACTAAGGGTGTTTTGTAAGGGGTTTGGATATAAACTATAAAAGCTATAAAAGTGTTATGAATTGAGATGAGATGGATATATGGAGTGGAGTATAAAGTGGTGGTTTACTTATTCCATTAGTATTATTACCCATTATAGAGCGGTGCAGTCGTATGGCTGGCTATGAAATGAAAAATGAGATGTAATGAGATTCGGGGTTTAAAACAAAACTTCATTTTGATTGTAATACTATAATCCTATTCCCATAATCCATCAATCATCAATATCAAATATAAAATATCAAGTAACCAACCTGGCAAGCAGCAAAACCAACACAAACATCGAATGAAGAACCAGCTTCGAGAACACAGCAAGCCAAACCAAACAAAAACAATAATCATAACCCCAAATCCCAAATCCCAAACCCCAAAACCATTCCATCAACAATTTAAAATCTAAACACCAATAGCCTTAACAGCCCTCTCCCAATAAACCTTCCTCTCATCCGTAACAGAAGTACCCACACAATCCGAGATAAACCTCTGCCAACCAGTCTCCGACCCATCAGCAAGGGCACTCCGCACCTCCTTCGAGCACTGCGTAGTAAGGAACCAAGCCCCAGACCCAAAGTCCGTCGCACCGTCGCTACGCAGGAGATCAAGCAGATCTGCAGGGCTGTTACTGACAGCAGGGAGTTTATCTTTCAGGTCAGGCAGGGAAGAAGCGTATTTTTTGTTGAAGGATGGGGATTGCATGTTTCGTGCTGGGAGGATAAATATTGTTAGTATTATGTATGTGGATGTTGTAGGGAAGAGTTCGGGTTGGGTTGGGGCAAATGGACTGGGTCCCCGGTAAGAGTTGAGTTGAGTTACGTACTGCCCTGCCCAGCGACGCCGGGGAAATGGTTCTTGTTATATTTGAAATCACCGCTTTCAAATGCCATCAGACTGATGATTGCAGCTTGCTCTGCTTTCGAGGTGACTTGGTATGTATCGAAAGATTGGGAGGTGAATTTTGCTGCTTGTTTTGCTGTTGCGCATTCGCCTTCTGCTGGGGCGTCTGTGCAGGAATTGGAGGTAGGGGCGATGGTGAGGATTTGAGATTCTGTTAGGGTTGTGTCGCGGGCGAAGAGGAATGGGAGGGGTGATGCGGTTGTTTGGATTGTGAGGGTTAGGGTTAGGGAGAGTAGGAGGGAGAGGAGGTGCATTTTGGTGAGTTTGGATCGAGGTAGAGGGGATAGGATGGATGTATGATAAGTCAATGGGTAACTATGTATATCATGTAGGAATCAAGAGTTGAAAGTCCAAGTCCAAGTGTGAGTAGATCGTTGTTATAGATGGATAGTATAGAAAATGATCTTGGTGTTGTACTGGGAGCAAAGAGCGGCATGGCAGGTCATTTATAAGTCCTTGAACATGTCTGTCAGACGAGGAGGGGACATAAATGAAGGGCTTGCATTGCCCAAGGCAGCTGGGACATACAAAGGGGAGGCGGAGGTAAGATACCCCCGTTAGTATGTACATTGTAGGCTAGACGCGGAGAATGCTAGTGAAGTATGTGGTGGCCAATATTAAGGAAGAACGCCAAATGAGGCATTTAGTTCAAACAAAAGCACATGCTACGTAGTATACTATTTTTTAATAAGACCAAAGCCGTAGACTTGATAGGACAAGTCGGAAAGCTTGTCGATGTGGTGATGCAAGGCACGGTGTTATCATTGGAGAAATTAGGGTTTCAGGATTGGTGTTTGGGGTTTGTATCAGATTCCTAGGGGTTTTTGAGACACAGTTACACAACTACTAATATGATTCAGATTCGGTATACGGAGTACTTTGTAATGAACTTTGTAATGAATTTTATTGTCATAGTCGAAAGACCGTTGTTAATTCATAATTCTCCTCGGAGATATCTGATCCGAGTGCATAAAACCGAGTGCATAAAAACATCTCCATATCATTTCACTGTCTCCCGAGAAGTGAAATCTAACTTGTTTACAAATCAATAGAGAAAAATAATAATAAAAAAAAGGGGGGGAACAGTGAAACAGAACTAAGACACAAACACTGGGAGTGTCTGCGCACATGTCCAATAGCAAACCCAATTGCTCCAGGTGAACATACAATCCTGGATCCTGTCACAGGATTGAGACACCATGCATAATGCGCTCCTAAACACAGAAAGAAAGAGCAAAAGTTGTACAATAAATGCTGATGCAGAGATCATGTCCGAGGCCGTATCGTTACAGACAAATACACAAGCTGTAAAATGGCGAAGTTGTGAGTCGAGAAGTCAATCTCTAGATCTCTAATCATCGCGACGTCCGAGTTCATACGAGGTCTCTGTGACCCCGCCTGCCTCTTCGTCTTCTTTAAAGCTGACGCGTCGCAGGATTGTCGGGACGGAGAGTCGCGAGCGTCGTGTTGGCGATGTGGAAAGTCGCGACGGGTTGATGAAGTTAGGCAATTTAGTGTAGCGGTAGCGGTACTTCGCTCCCAGGAGCATAACACGTCCATAGCTCCACCAGAGGCAGAATCCAACGACTCCGGCGAGGAGGAAGCCGCAGACTGTGAGGAAGACCCAATGTTGACCCATCTGCGAGATATATTAGCATTATTCGGGATATTCAATGCCCAAATTTTGTCACTTACCCAGAAGATCAAGTGCGCGTCCTTGCCGTGCCAGCTGTTACCCCGGTGGTGGGTGAAGAAGCTCCAAGAGAACTTGTTGTACTCGTCCTGCATGAGAATGCGCACGCGCCCAGCCTCACTGGGACCATCGCGCATATACTCTTTCCAGATGACGGACAGGAACAGCGGTCCGGTCGAGTACATGACGGTGATATATGGGAGGAGCCAGTGGCGGTCGTACTGTTGCAGCACTTCGATCGTACGGAGGAAGAATGGGTGCTGTGGTACTGAGCCCATAGCGTCATTGGAGATACCGGTGGGTGCGGTACGGCGTACCCAGGCGGGATAAGCTAGGAGGGGATCCAAGCGACGGTTGCAGCCCTAATTGATATTAGAAATGAGCTATCATAGTCTCTCGAAGGATATACTCACATCGTCGAGATCAATGTATGTTCCACCGAAGTGCGCGAGAACGAAGTATCGAATAGAGTCCGCGCGTTGAATGGGGTAACTGTAACCATCGAATGTGTCCAAGAACCAAGGGTATTCGGCGGCGATAAAGTCTCGCGATTTCTCATTTGTCCATAGCTAACGACACATGTTAGAAGCCTTGAATTAAACAGATCGGGTTGGGGCCATGGAAGTACAATGTATTCATAATCCGGGTGCAGGTCAATGCAACTCTGCTGAGCTTCAGCCCAGACCTCTGGAATGGTCTCATTCTTGTATGTTTGGTGAATGATCTTCGGAATGATCTGGGGTCGTTGCTCGATCAGGCTCGAATTTGGCGAGGGTAGTTCCGCACGGTGTATAGCGTCGGCAGCAGCATCTTCAACTAGTAGCGCCAGAAGTGTCGAGACACTGCGGACGAGCAATGAGAGAATGATGAGGTTGACGAGGAGGAAGATCAAAAGACCGCGCCGCATGATGAAGGCGAAGGCGACAGAGACAAAGGATTCGATAGGAGAGCGCGACCAATTGAACCCCAACTATTCGTTTTATGTCGTAAAAAGTCGTGTTAAGAGTGTTCAGACCCTTAGGCCGTTTGATATGTAGTCAAAGCTGTACGAAAATGCGGTCATAAGAATCTGGTAATGATAAAAAGGAACGAGAAAAGAGTATTTTAAAAAAGGGGAGACTATTTGACGATAATAAGGAGTGACGGGAGTGGGGAGACTAAAGCTAAAGAAGGAAAGGAGAGGCCTCGGGGGAGCGTTTATTCTGAGGCAAAAAAATTTAAATTAAAAAAAAGAAAAAGAGGGAAGGTGACGAAGGGGAAAAGTCAAGAGAATACGACAGCCTTGGGGGCAAGGGAAAAAAGGTTGAGCACATTTTACAATGGAGGCTGAGCACGCTGAGCACCAGGAGAGGGGTGGCTGTGGTTCCAAGATTAGACTGACCTGATCATCTTCTGATTGGTGCATTCACGGTGGGGCGACAAAGGGGAATTTTTTAACCTTTTCCTTTTTTTTTTCAATGGAAATGCCAATCTGGTATGGATTTAGTGGTGAATATTGGCTTAAATGCAGCACTACTTAGATCGCATCTTGAATTATTATCCATATAATATAATAGAAACTACATCCATAGCCATTGGAACTATCTATAAAGGTATAATTCTCAACGTCGCTAAAATAATCTAAGTTCGGCGCAAGGACTCGTCATCGTATTGTAAAGATACACCCGTGGGGAAAAATCCCCACGCCAACGTGAGAACGGTGTATTGAACTAATCCTATTTAGGTATGTACTGTACCGTACCTTTCTTGACCTCGGGAGGCTAGTGGTAGTTTGCATCTACTAGTTCCGAGGTCTATGACCTAGGTTGGACTGGTTGGATAACGGAGCACGAAATGTTTAACTATAATGATACTATTTTACATACAACATATTCAGTGTTCAGTGCTTTTTTTTTTATATATTTACAATGTACATTGTGTCAGTTGTACATGTATTTTCACCACTGCCCCGATTGTGGCGTGAATTGCACACGTAGGCCTTTGATAAGAACAATTTAGTGTATGACACTATAAGTGACAGAGTATAATTTATATGAATCCAATCCCACGCGTAAAAACAAAGAACCAAGCCTTGGACCTCTTGGCCACAGACTCGGCCAAGGTTATTGCCAGCACGAGAGGTAGGAATTAGCACCGATTTGCCAAGTGAACCGCCACTGTGTGCCACATACCTGGAGCGTGCACGGTGCAATTCGAGGTCCCCATCACCCCCATTATTGAATTGGCCTGGATTATCGTATTCGTACCTCGGTATTCGAATATTGTGCTCCGTATTTTGCTGGTGGATACAGTTGTACATACTCCGGTGTATAGAATGGATATGGAAAAGTGCAATTGGAATATTTCCAACCAATGAAACCCTTGGATTAATTTTATCTCAATGCACAAGTGGGATTCAACCATGGCAGATGGTACATAACCCATTTCCATGGGAACTATCCCCACTAGACCCCCTCCATTGACCTGGTACAAAGAAGGTCCCTCTCAGAGAACCCACCAATAACCCACGGTTCACCACGTTCCAAGGTTGTATCTCGATTCCCTTTTTAACTCTGTTGCCTATCACTCGTCATATACCAGCTTCTCCGGGTTTCCATTTTAAGATGTGACGTGGGTGATTCCTTGATTTCTTTTATGTTCTCCATACGGAGTACATACTAGCTCACTTCTAATCCCCGTGAAAGTACAAGCATTGCGAAGATCGCCGTGCCATGTTTTACTAGCGGGGTGTGGGCGCTAACGGTGAATTACTCCTTTAGTACAAAATCTGATATTAATTCGCATTGCGCGCCATATATGTCCATACTCTATTACTATCTACCTAACTCCAGATGCGTTGGTTCTCAAGGTGAGACATGCGTAGCAACTACGGAGTATACATGTACCATACAGCCATCTTCCGAGAAACTCGCAACTATTGCTTAGCTAGGCAGGTAGTTCCCGGGCCCTTAATTAAAAGCGCTGCATATCACCATATTGGTTTGTACTGAAATATGGGGCCAAACACTGGGATGCATGCACGGGGCGCTGGGCGCCCTAAATTGTACGACGTACGATTTGCCATTATCTTGTTGCCTCGTGCCAGATTTAATCTGACGTCCTCTACTCCGTAGATCCTCTTACAGCAGCCTTTCTAACAATAGAGTACTCTACATAATGTGAGATGACTAGGCTGACTACATACAAAAATAATTTGTGCAGGAGGCTTAGCTATGTATAACCTTTGAGGTACGGAGTACATTGTATTATGCTGCCTATCTGTTGGGACTGCCTATGCATATGCAAGATCGAGAACAGCCCTGTACTTAACTTGGCATGTCCAAACACAGTATCATCATGCGCCTCCCTGTGTTCTGTAAGGTATTTTGATAGTGGCTGGTAATGCATGCGATCACACGGGGTTGATTTACTTTATATTACTTTAACACATGTGAACGCAAACAAACAGGGGTTGATGCATTTGAGTTTATTACTTCGAAAGATAGAGCGAAGTCAAACGCTCAGACAAGGTTGGGGTTGAAGGTCATAGCGTTTGATACATGTCGTCATCTTAAGGTCTACGTCTGCATGCAGCTCTAATTGGTATAACAGTAAAAAGAAAATAATAATTCGGGTATCTATGGCTATTCCAATGTAAAAATGTATGCACGCTCCTGTAAACACAAACGAAACCAAAGTCCTAATCCTTGCTTCTTTTAGATCGATCACATGGAGACTATGCCAAGGGGCAACATCACACATCATCAGATAAAAGGGAGCTGCTCCGGACAGATCCCTCGCTAGTCTCCGTCATACCACTTTTGATACAGCTCTAATGTGGCCTGTTTCACTTCTCACCCAGTATCTCGTGCAAAACTCGCCAAATGATGTCGAATGCTCTCATCCGGCGTGGTGTAGATGAAAAGCGCCAAAATACTCGCTGGCGTCCAGCTGTGCCCCTCTCCTGCATGGCTCACAGTTTTGATATCAATGGCTCAAAGCTAGCCTTGAGCAGAGATCAAGGCCAGAATTGGACCCATTGCACCATAGGCTCTACTTATACCAGCGAGATCTGTCTTTCAAATGCAGTCTAGTTTCAATTTCCGTTCGATGCCACAAGGAACCTCGATATTCCATTCCGGAAAAGCGACACTTGATCAATAAAAAAGAGTATGGCTCATCGAACCTCAGGCGCCGCCGCAGCCGCAAACTCGCGGTTCACAGCCGTACCCGTCGTACGCTCGCTTGGCCCAGGCGCAGGCTCAAACAGACGGACCCACCAACGAGGGGGGTCAAATGGACGGTGGCCATCATGCAGGGGCGGGTAAACATCGTTGAAGAAGTACCAGATATGACCGACAACAACGCCGAGCATTTCATCCTTCGGCACAATCTTATGCACAATCACACTGAATCCCATCAGCACCCAGGGTAGGTAGGGAGCGGTGAAGACCAGCAGCCCCAACAAACTGAGCCGGGTGTCTGGGTTGCGCCGGGCCCAGATATAGACCAGGCTGGATGAAAGCGCGCTTCCCAGGAAGGGTATTGAGAGGAAAGGTGAGATGATGAGGAGAGACGTCATGGCGTAGAAAATCAACCATGCGAAGTGGGCCGGGGAGCGGCCGGATGTTTCCTCCAGAAGACGGGAGTAGCGCTGCAGGAAGAAGACATGGAATAATAAGTCGAGATTGAGGGGCCCGAAATAGAGGAATGTCGTGAGGAGTCGCCAATACTGCGATTTAACGTAGACAGAGCGGAAGCTGTAGAACAGCTGGAATGGGGTCACGATGTGGCACTGCACCAAGACTGATGTTGCGACGGTTGCTACAGTCCACCACCGGGTGACCGGTGGCATCTCATAGAACCATTGTTCGAGGGGAAACTGGCCTGGTTGCCCATTGTTCTCCCAGAGAGCGGCCATTATGTGGGGGGGTGTTGTAACTTCTAATGGGGACGGGGGAATCAGAGAGAAGCGGAAGTGGGATGATCAGCATGAGCACTGAAAGCTCTCCAAAGTGCCTCCGGGGTATATTCAACGTATGACGGAGATAAGACCAGGTAGGCCAGTTTATCGTCACGTGTACCGACACGAGACGCGTGTTTACGTGAGAATCACGGGGGCTGGGACACTAAGGCCCGAATAGTTCATATTGACAGCTTGCCCAGCCTTCCCTTCGCAACAAAGGACTGTCCAATTATTAGCAGATAGGATTTTTAATCCCAATCCCTTCGCTTGAATCTCGTGTGCAAGCTTAAATCCCCTCGATACTCGGACACGGTTCCTGCAAGGGACAATCTCTCGACACAAACGCGGCAATTTGCAGGACACTGGTTGCTAGGCGATAAACCTCCCAATTGATCGCTTTCCAAGACCCCACTACCCCAAAAAAAAAAAACCACAAGCGTTCCTCCTTTACCATAATGCCGCCTAAAATGGCCCGAAAGACAGCACCGGGAAGCGCACAAAAAGGCAAAGTGCGCAAGACAACCGCGGGCGGAGATGGAACACCAACCAAAGCACATAAAACGAAGGGAGGAAAGCAATTAACAGTCGCAAAGACCAACACCAACGTCCAACGTACGTTCTACCTTCTTCCTACCACCACCACAATAAGCGCCTTAGACAACTCTACATGCGCAATTCCTATTCAACCCCCCATTCTAACAATCCCCTAGCCGGAGATCCAACCCCCACAGGCCGCCGACGCCGCTACAAGCCCGGCACCGTCGCATTGAAAGAGATTCGCCGCTACCAACGCTCCTACGACCTCCTCATCGCCAAACTACCATTCGCACGCTTAGTACGTGAAGTAGCACTCGACCTCCTCCCCGCGGACGTCGGCGCCGAGTTGCGCTGGCAGTCGCATGCTATCCAAGCTCTGCAAGAAGCCGCCGAGGCTTTCCTTGTTCATCTATTCGAGGATACGAATCTCTGCGCGCTGCACGCGAAGCGCGTTACTATTATGCAGAAGGATATCCAACTTGCGCGGAGAATTCGCGGTGTTTGGGCTGGACTTGGTTGAGCTGTTTTGTTATTGGGCGTTTCGATTTTTGCGGCTTTAATATTAATTTCGCGGTATGGGGTGGTTTCTTCTTCATCCGTGGGTGGATGAGGAGAGATGCATCGGCGGACATTGCTGGCGTATTGTGGGTATGGAGTTGGCTTTTTTTTCGATGTTTTATCCAGCGAAAGCTGGTGAAGCCTGTGTCTGTGGACTGCAGGCTGGTTTATACCATAGTGTTTGTACATTACGCATGGATGTCGGGTGTTCATGTTCTTTTTTATAGGGAGCGAAGCAATTCATGATCTTCCTAGGGTGGTGTGATAGACACGCCCTAAGCTGAATTATATCAGTTTTCAAGTCAACGATTCCTACGTATCACTGGGTAAACCTCTGTGCTCAGGGCATCGGAAAGGTATTTCTTAATTCGCCAATAACACCATTCACTGGCTTGCATCCATAAAATATCAAACGCCTTCCCTAGTAGCCATCAAATGGTATCGTAAACGAGCGCCTCCCTAAGAACAGTTCTGGAACAAACGCCAAAGGGAAAGACGTTAAAAAAAGAAAACAAAACAAAAAGGTGTATCATGTTTATAGCAATAGACAAAACCCAATCATGCCGAACGTCTCAGACGGGGCGGAAGACCCGAGACCAAGCGTTGGCCTTCCTCGCGGACGCTCTGCGCTTCTTCGCCCTTGCCCTGTCGCTCGAGAGTCTCAGCCAGCATGTCATCAGTGACACTCGCCCACATACGGTCATTAGCTCGTTTAGCCATTGCACGGCCGGCCCGAGCGCTTTTCTCGGCTTGCTCGCCGACCACGCCACGGAAGTATTTCCAGCTCATGAATGTTAGGGTCATGCAGGTGATTTGGCTGTTGCTGATTGCGGTGGCGGACTGCAGGGCTTGCTGGAGATACTGTTTTGTTTGAATGGTTGACTCGGAGTGAACGGTTGCACAGACTAGGTAGTAGGCAGCTTGTATGTACTTGTTTGGACTGCTTTGGCAGAATGGTTCGAGGGTTGCTAGGACGTCGCTGAGCAGTGAGTGTGACGGGTGACTTGGATCACGGAGGATAAGGACTGTGTTGAGACCGGCGAGAATGCGCGTATCGCGACAGGGATCATTGCGTCCTGTCTTGCTGGTAACAGGGTCTAGTGACAGAATTGGGGATTGGAATATGTCCAGCGCGGCCTTGAGATCGCCAGTTGCTTGTGCGATGGTGCCGGCGGCATATTCCATCAGACATTCGATGGTGTCCGGGAGGTTCGAACCAAGCTCTTGGAAGACTTGTCGAAGGTCATTGAGGGTCTGACTGGCAAGATCCCAATCGGTTCGACCGCAGGCTAGGAAGACTCGTTGGAGGAGAAGGTTGCAGTAAAGGGACTGACGCCACTGAACCCGACGGTTGGCATTGACCATGGATTCTGAAATTTCTTGGGGGGCCTTAAAATTGCCTTGAACCATTCGAATCCCTTCCTCAAGATATTTCTCTGCTTTCCGGCCGTCATATGAGTTCTTGGCACTGAGCGTGATTGAGCTTAAGAAATAGCAAAGCGCATAAAGATCGTGCTGAGGAAGCCAGTTGAAACTTAGTAGCAATGTCCCATTATGAACCTGCAAGATATCACCTGTGTCGATGGATGACGGCCCGGCAGATTTACCGTTGAGAGGGACTGAAAAGGATCCATCGGGACGCCAGTTGCTGTCGCTCAACGTTTCGTCCATCAAAGCCTGCATGACCTTCAGCTTCTGTCCAGACTGGTTGACGTCGTACTCTAGAAGACTGCAGCAGATATCGACCATCTGAATCAAGGTTGTAAGTTGTGGTATATGGCGAAGTTCATCGTTCAGTTGATGACTTCGTGCGGCGGCCACGGCGCGCTGTGCCTGCTCGATAGAATCGGAGTTTGTCGCCTGCTGCAAGTGTGCAAGTGATTCAATAACAGCCGCCATTGCTGAAACAGCCTTATCCCCGTTACGGCTAGCCATGGCCGTGATTTTGTGAAGATGCTGTAACGCTTGCACAGAGTCTTGGTGTGATGGAGATGACAACGAGAGTGATACTCGAAGGAAACGAAATGCGTACTCCCATGCGGCATGACGGTACCTATAGTTATTAGCATGCCGTGATCAAAGAGCGGGGAATGGCACATACGCTTCCACGTCCTGAATCATCCCATCGACCGCTTTCAAGGAAGCTTTGGGGTTACTCTTGTGGAGCATTCGTGCCAAGAGGTGCTGCATGCTGTATTTCAAGTCAAGCATACGATTCTATAACAGTCAGATCAAAACAAATTCGCTATCAAGTTTCGGTTGACTAACTCGTTCACAAAGATCAATCTGCGTCAAGTTAGTGGCTATTTCTGGAAAATAGGAGGGGAACAAATACACACCCCTTTACTCAATGCTGTTTCCGCTTCGATGTCATTGTCTGTTTCCTCGAACAGTGTACGCGCATAGCGAAGTCTAACAAGAGCTTCTTTGCGAGGTTGCAATCGCCAGTTCTATCATATCATTTATTTTAGCATGGGCGTAGAATTTTCTCCAATGGAGCAATTCACCAACCTTCAAGACAGCCTCCAAACAGCCTAATCCGGTAGCAACCAGCTTGTAATATTCCTCGACATCCGTCTCACGAGCGGTCAATGAGGTGGTTGTTCCACGCGCGTGGGCAGCATTTAGATATTCATCAGCTAGGGACAACAGCAGAACTTGATAGTCAACTGGAGGCTTTGTAGACTTGGCAGGTGTGGGCTTCCCATGTTTTTCGACATTTGGCTGACTCGGCTGTCTCTTCTTTTCAATATGCTGTGGTTGAAGTTGCTTCTTCGGGGTTTGTGTATGAATTTTTGCTTGAACGACTGGAGAAGGAGCTGGGATCAAGACTTGCGGAGTGGCATGTGTCACCGGCGATGGTGCAGGTTGGGGTCGTTTCGGCGTCGCAATAGGCGTAGAGGGTTTTTTCTGGGGCTCTACTTTGGGGGAGATCTTTGCTGGTGTGGGTTCGACTTTAATGATAGGGTGTGCTTGCGGTGTATGAATCTTGGGTTTTCCTTGGTTTTGGGTGTTTGGTTTGGGAGTAATCGGAGACGGGACAGGAGCAACATGGACAGGCATGGCTGGCGGAGGAGGTGGCAAAGTAGCCGGTGGTATTTGGGAAGGACTAGCGCTCGGGACGAAAGGCGGCTCGCCATACTGAGGGGAGAGTTGGGTGTATCGGGATCGCGGAGCAGTAGGCAAAGGTTGTTGTACAAACAATTGAGCTGGATTGACAAACTGATGTTGAAGCTGTTCTTGTTGGATTTGAGGCGGAGGCGGAGGTGGGGGGAGGAGGCGGCTGAGGTGGAGGGGGGGATTGTAGTTGAGGGAGAAGTTGTGGTCCTGGCTGTTGTTGCCCTGGCTGTGGCCGTGGTTGGAGAGCCTGTGGTGGTAAATGGAGCGGCTGCTGCGGGGGAGTTTGCGGCGGAGGGCGCGTTTGCTGCTGCCGCTGTTGCTGTTGTTGTGGCTGTGGCTGTGGAGTATATGTCGATGGATATGAATACGGTGTCATGGCCGAAGGATACATTGCTGGCTTGCCATAACTATCGTATGGGGGCGGAGGACCGGCATTATTGTACAGTATCGGCGGGGGGATTTGCCCGTGTTGATACTGCGGCGGCGGTAGATAATGCGGGTATTGGCCTGGACCAGGTGGTGGGAAGCTCATCGCCCCGAGATATGGACGATACTCGTATAAATCGAGTATGAAGTCGAACGCGCGAGATGGTGAGCGTGGATCTTCGTGTCGGTCCGGAGAAACCCAGGGCGGTCAGCTGATAAGGGATGTTGCGATTACGCGACTCTTCTCCATCGAGGTACCTGTATACTACCTGTTATACTTCCTGTCTAGGTTAGTTAGTTAACTAGTTACATATTTACATCTCAACAGTCATGGGAGAGTGGTCTTTGACAGTTTACAATTTTGTTTTAGGCTGTGTTGTCGGCCAATGATGCACTTGGATACGACAACGAAAAATATGTACAAAGGAACTCTTAACAAAGAATCTTAACAAAAGATATCAAATCAAGAGGCACCAAGGTGGCCTTCACTTCTGGTCTGAATGATTAAATTATTTGATAATATTCCTAGATACCTGATGCCAACAAAAGACGAATCTAACACGCTAAAACGACACTCACTATACAAATATATACTGACAAAATTCGTAAACGAGAGAAGAAATGAGCCCCAATTGATCCGCCAATTCCTTATGATCTCGCCAAAGCCCCTGAGGCCTCTCTTGCAGCTGAACAAATCCGTTAAACCAAGTTGATGTATGTGTAAAGTTGGTTGATGGGTGAGTTACCTATCCCAGAATCGATAATTTCCTGTTCTATACTTGGTGCGAATGAGAGCGCTGGATGTTCGCGCACTGTCCAAGGACACAACTCGTTGCAGTTTTCAACACTGACTGAAGGTTCGGCTGGATGAATCCTTTGTGCCCCCCAAGCCGGATCAGGAGCTGGACCCGTCCCTCCAAGGTTTCTTTGAGTCCAGAATGAATATGTCGCTTTGCCGGATTTTTCATAGTGGAATGGTGATTTCCGTGGACATGTCAACGTTGTGTCACAAGCACTGCAGACTGATATACGCTTGCAAGACGAGCAGAAAGAGTCGAAGAGGCGACATATAGTGGTTTGGTGGACGCTTGAGAGCCACAGGTCGACTGATCGATGTGCACACCCAAAGCGTGGTGTCATATAATCTTCCTTGCCAACTTGACCCGACTCCGTGGTGAGTTCATATTCCGTGCGGACAACTAACTGATTGTCGGCATTGATTTCTGGGAATAGAGATGTCTTCAGTTCGGTTGGGCCATACTGCTCGGTGCATGTATGCCAGCGGTAGCGGTCCTCAACGGCGTTCCCGAAGTTTAATTTCAGTGGTTGCAGTGCCACCTGCCGCACTCGAACATGGTCCGCGAGATCGAGTTTATCGCGGAAAGTTAATTTCTTGCATGGGCATAGGTCGACGACTCCTGCTAAATCTCCAACATTACACGTTCGATTCTCTGGTTTCCGCCTCAGCTCTCTGGATGAGAATGCGGCTCTAGGGTGGAGTTTCAAACACTTGGAGCATAGTTTCCAGCGGGAGTTTTCCAACAAGTTGAGGAATGACCATCGGGGAGTGACAAAGTTGTGTCCATTGCGGTAATGGTGGAATAGCGGGGCAAAGTCACGACTGAATCGGAGGGATTTCGAGAGCAGGATCTCTCCGGAGATTGCGAACATGCGCTTGTTGGTCAGCGCAAGCGCAGCCTCCGGCAGCACTGTCAGATGGGATATGATCTCCAACAACAGTTCGGTGGGTAGTTCCATTAAGTAGCAACGGCCGAGGCCTTCCTCCTGTTGCTTCTTCGCTCGTTTCGGGGACCAGGCTCTCATTTTGATCATAGTCGTCTTAAACTTCTCTGTGGCACGGTGTAGACGATCGGACATGTCGGACGAGGACTTTCTTATTAAAGTCATGGGTACTTGGATCTTAGGTCGTTTAAAGATGTTTTATGACCAGGCCTCATGAGAGATTTGTGAATTAACAATATGTATAGTGGCGTTTCGACTGTTACTATCATGTTGTAGTAGAGATCAAACGCATCGTGTGACGAACAGTATTGCATCACTTTCAAAAGAAAAAGAGCGAAGGTATGGATCCTTTGACCTTGAAATAGTCTGCTGGAAGATAAAGGTTCCCGGAAACGGACCATGGGACAAGGTCACAAAAAGATGGGTGTTAATGCTATCAGCATTACATATAAAAAGGAGGAGGTACTGATCATTGGTGGCTCAGTCCGTTCTTTGTCTGATGATCCATATGCAGAACACCGGATATTTCAACATTTTAACCCTACATTTATCTTGGTCGATTTACGAAAGACATTGCTATTGTCGGAAGACATGGGGATTTCTCCCTGTGCTTCATGCCGGAAGTGAGTTTAGGGCTTCCGCATGCGGAAATCAGATTGCCGCATTTGGCATCGTATCATCATCACTTCATATTCGGTGGAATGGCCCCGACTTTTCCCAACTGCACCAGATAAGGTGTGCTTCCTGCATCAAATCTGAGCTCAGGCCTTGGATGCGCTATGACATTGTCAACTGACCTCTGGCGTATGACAAAAACGCCCGCAGGTTATCAGGTGTGCCCGTGCAACCGCCCGGAGCCCCTCATATTGATGACTAAGCCAACCTTAACGCCCAGATCACCTGATATAATATGCATAACTATATGAACCACGTGCATATGCATAAAATAAGCTTAGTCAGATTGAACCATGGGTGGCCTGGAAAATCTAAACATAACTTTTTTTTTTGCCGAGGTTCGTTTCAGATATCGAGATTGTTATCTTGGATCCTTGGATCCAGTATTTTGCATTTTTGCATTTTGCATTTTCAAGCTTGGTATTGTTTTTCTTTTCTTTCTCTGCATATAAGAGTTGAACGGCCTTCATTGGGATATCTATTTGTCCATTTACTTGATTTCAGCATTCTTTTTAGATACCCCTCATGCTCGATATCATCTCAACGCTTCTGAATTCAATCCCCCTATCAGTCCTCTTATCCGGGTTGATCGCTATGGGTTTGATTTCATGGTTTCGTCCTAAGGGTCGCATAGCTTTCTATCACGCCAAGGACAATAAGTTGACATTGACCAAAGTTCCCGGCGCCACTGGCGCTAAAGAACAAACCACGTTCGTGGATGTCTGTCGGTCTGCAACACCAGAAACATGCAACCTAAACCCTTTCTTGTTCAATGGGCACCTGCAGACATGTTGGACTACTATGAAATACGACAATGTTCCTGTTTACTACAAACGTAAAATCTTCGAGTCGGAAACCCCCGCATTCTCGGGTCACTATGCCATGGATTTCGTGGTCGCACCGTACGAGATTCCTCAAGATCCGGAGCTTATTGATCAAGCGAGGAAGTATACCCAAAAGTCTGGTATGCCACCGCGCACATCGTTCTTCTCTCAGGATGAATTTGCTGCGTTGCCCTCCAATGACACTAAGCCCATGCTTGTGCTTCTTCACGGTCTGAGCGGTGGATCCCATGAAGTGTACTTGCGGGAAGTCCTAGCACCGCTTGTCAAAGATGGCGCGTGGGAAGCATGTGTTGTCAACTCGAGAGGATGCGCGGAGACAAACATCAGTACTGGTGTTCTCTACAACGCCCGAGCTACCTGGGATGTTCGCCAGTCTGTGAAGTGGCTCAGGAAGCAGTTCCCCAATCGCCCTCTGTTCGGAATTGGCTTCTCACTGGGTGCCAACATCCTCACTAATGTATGCCCTTCCCCCCCCGCAAAGCTGACCGTTTATAACCCCGACTGACAAACTTTGTAGTACCTGGGAGAGGAAGGTGACGCCTGTCAATTGAAGGCAGCCGTAATTTGTGCAAGCCCGTGGAACTTGGACATTGGTTCCTTGGTGTTGCAAAGCACCTGGATTGGGAAGGAGGTGTACAGCAGAACCATGGGGACAAGTATGAAGAAGCTCTTTGAGGCGTGAGTATCTGTCTGTTCGGCTAATGTGAAAATTTGACTAACCACATGGAAAATAGACATGTTGATCAAGTGTCCACAAACCCTCGGATCGATGTTGATGCGATAAGAAAGATTACCTACCTTCATGAGTTCGACCGGTATGTATATTTCCTTCTGCCTGTCAAAATGAGTTCCATTCTAACATGCAACAGAGCTCTGCAATGCCCGACCTGGGGCTACCCCACCGAGGGGGCGTATTACCGTGATGCTACTTCCACCGATTCCATGCTCGCTATCAGGATTCCTTTCCTTTGCGTTCAAGCAGAGGATGATCCTGTAAGTTATGAAAGCTTTCCATGTTAACCGTGAAGACACCACTGACTCTGCTAGATTGCTTGCCGAGAGGCTCTGCCCTACCAGGAAATGACCCAAACGCCATATGGAGTCATGGTAACTACATCGGGAGGTGGCCATCTTGGCTGGTTCGAATTTGGAGGGTCCCGGTGGTTTGTTAAGCCGGTATGTATTTCCCAATTAACCATTGGCATCCAAGATACTAACTTTCCTTCAGGTGGCAAACTTCTTGAACAAAATGGCAAGGGAAATCGATACTACTATTCCTGGTGTTGTCGAACACCCTGAAAGACTCCCTGGAAACATTGCCAGCCACACTGGCCCCAACAAAAAGCCCGACCTGGCACCTAAGCCTGAATTCGTCTCGATGCGCCGCAAGCTCGCACTACCTTTGGGGCTGTAATCTGCCCCTCAACTATTCCGCCCTCCCAACCAACTGCTACAATCATCATGTTCGAAAGCGAGGTCATTCATGGTTTACAATGGGTGAACCATTTTCGGGGTTTTTTTCGGGAGTTTTTTTTTTGCATAAATGATGTTTCTGTTCCGATAGACATAGATTGATAAACCGGTGAAAACGCCGAACCCCGACATCTAAATACATAATCAAAGTATAGACACAAATATTCAGACTTTTTTTCAAGCAAATGCCACGGTCTTCTTCTTTGATCGCCCGGGCTTCGAGATACTATCCTTGATACTCGTGGGCTCCGCGGCCTTGTCACCACCCTTGCCCTTCTTCTTTTGACGGATGGAATCCTTGACGTCGTCGAACTTGTTCTTCCTTTCCTTCATGCGGGCCTCGGCCTCGGCCCTCTTTGCCTCGCGGATCTCTTCTAATTGACGTGCCTTCATCATCTTAGACTCGATCTGGCCCTCCTTCTCGGCGTTCACCATGGCGAGAATTGTCCTCATGCCCTCCTGTAGGTGATAATATTAGTACCAGACTTCCATAAAGTGCAATGAATATAACAGAACATGAGAGGTAAAACGTACCGCATCATCGACAAAAGTCTTGCCCTTCTTCTTGCCCTTGGGCTTGATCACTCCAACAGGTGTGATTTGGTTCAACTCGGGCAGATCCAGCTCCTTCTCGGTGTATACTCTCTTCTTCTTTCTCTTCAAGTTCTCATTGGCAGTCCGGGGCTTGGTCTTCTGTTCCTTGGGCGGGGGACGCTTGGGACCATCTTTCTTGGCCGATTTGCTGACGCGCGAGGCAGAAGACAGGGCTGAAGGCTTGCCTCCCTTTGCGCCTCCTTTGGCGCCTCCCTTTGCACCTCCAACGTTAGGAGCCATTTTGTAGTCGAGGAATTGAACGGTGGATTAAGGTTGAGACGATGCGGATGAAGAGAGAAAAGCAAAGATTGATAGGGTGACGAGAAATGCGTTGTAATAACCTCAACAACCCAAGACGAATTGAATAACCCTGCAACAGAACCAGAGATATCGAAAAATATTCGACGGGAAAAAAAACAAGAGCAGGGAAACGTCGCGCAAGACGGTCCGATAATCCCCAAATTCGCAAAGATTTTTTTTGAAAAGGCAGGCGGTGAGCCAGTCCCATTCCACCACCAACCTCAGATCGAAACCTCCACCCTCGTAGCTCAGGAACCCACGTTCAATTCCCTCCCCGTCTTCCTGCACCCAGTGATTGAACCGCACTGGATTGAGTGGGCACTCAACTCTCCTCGAAAATGACTATCAACCCTACCTACCTGGCGCAGCGCACGCGCTCCTGTACGTCCCTTCCACGCCCGATGCGTTCCGCCGTCCACCCGGCGGGATCGTCAATGGAGTCTATCCTACCCGCGAAAAGGTGCTAATATGCTTGCTTCTTTTTCTAGCTGTCAACTGGGGCGATGCGAAATTCCGAGTCTTGAAGTCGTACCGTGAATGGCTCCGCGCGGTCAGTTTACCCCGAGATCACAGGCCGATACACCTTCTCCCTTGATATATTCTTTTCCTCTGTTCCAGGCAGATATCGCAGGAACAGATTGATTAGAGGCTCTTTTTTTTTTTCTATGGCCTAAAAGGCTACAATTTGACCCCGCAACGGACTCAGCTAACGTGATATCACCAAATACAGTCCCCGGAGATCCAGACCATGTACTCTCTGGGCATGCCCGTGTCCGCCATCCGCACCAAGATCCGCCAGGAGTTCGAGAAGCACCGCTACGTCAGCCAATTGCCTGTCGTGGATGTGCTTTTGTACCAGAGCCACGCCGAGTTCCAGGTTAGTTCAGTCCACCTTTTCTGCCTAGGATATATGACATGTCTTTTTCGACGTGCGGATCTTTCAAGTAGACCATTACGAGAAGCAACTGCCGCTGCTACTTCTTTGTCTTTATTGGATTACCCATTGTCGCAGCCACCCCACAATTCCAGAATCAAATACTGACATCATTTCAATGCAGGAAACCCTTAACTACTGGAAGCAGCTTTCTCACGTTATGAAGTACTTCCGCCCAGAAGAGGACCCTGGCGCGCGGCTACCCCGCAACTTCGTTTCTGGTTTCCTCGAGGGTCGCAATTAAAACTCTCTTCTGCTCCTTTCTCTCTTATTTCCTATCCTCTTCATCTCGTTTCTGGTCCGCGATGTGACAGTTCAAAGAACTGCGCCATCGATAGACATGATGTGTATATATTGTCTGAATAAGCCATTCCATTATCTTATCTCGTTCTCTAGTTTCTGCATACACCTAGCCTCGAGACTTGATGCTGAACCTATCCTATGACAGCACAATCTTCCTAGCAATATTGGTCCCACAGAACGTATCACGAATAACCCCTCTATCATCAAGAAGTATTTCTTATAAATATATATACCAAGAAACCAAAAAGCACTTCTCATGCCCAAGATAGAAAATGTACTTTTCCCTCTACCCAGAAACGCCAATTAAATAATACATATGCAAATAAACAACCTCATGCCTCCATCCGGTTCCCACTCTCCGCATTGAACTGATCACGCGAAGCAGTGAACTTCTCCGTTACGACATCGCACAGATCCATCAGATCATTGAAACCCTTCTCCAGAGCCTCGAGAGCAGTAGTAGTATCTAAAGCCATGCGTTAGTAACCATTCCACATCCAACATTCTTCCAATACGCAAGGTAAGAGAGTAATGAAAGTAAATTAGCAGAAACATACCATTGGTCTGGATACGGACGTTCATCTTAGGATCCGAGGGGTGGGGGATGGTGTAACCGCAGAACTCAACGGCAGGGCTATGTAATAGTTAGTGGTGATGTTCTTGTTCTTCCCCAGACCAGATGATGGGGTTCAATGCCTGTGAGAAAACATCCGGTACGAAATATCGAATCTAGTCTCGAAAGCATGGTATATACTCACTTCTTCATGATTGCGTACCGCAGCGCATTGCCCATGGTGTGGCCTTCGCCTTCGAACTGGAATGAAGCGGCGGTTTCGGTGGCGCCGGGGAGCTGGGGGAAATAATGGTATTAGCTTGGTTTCTTTTTTTTTCTTTTATGTTTAAGTATATCCCATAGATTAATTGTAGCATCAATTCGGATGTCCGTAGAGTAGATACGTACCACGACAATCTGTCTCTCCTCGAGGATGGGGTCGTTGGACTGGGGCAGCTCGGTGTGCTGCTCTGCGTCGACCATGGACTGGTCCATGTCTTGGGAATGGACGGATTCAGGCATTGTGTTTTTTGGTGAGGGGTGTGAAGTATGTAGGTTGAGCTAACGAGTTCGACGGTTTGTCGGACTGTTCAAGTGGATGCGGGAGTTGGGAGTGGTAGTTGGTGGCTGGCTGGGCTTGAATTTGCAAGACAGGAGGTTAATCTCTTTGCTGTCGTTTGGCTTGGTAGTTCAGTTGGAGTTTTAGGCTAAGAAATTTGCGCAATCTGGATCTCCAAGTCGAAGATTATCGCGAAGAAAAAAAGGTGGGTTATCGATAGTCGGTTCTTACCGCCTGCCGTTTTTGGCATCTATAAAATTACATTGTTGAGATGTTGTCTTTTGTGAAGATAAAGGGTGTGATCTTACTTTCTATAAGATTAAGAGTTATGGAATTTGTATAGAAGTGTTATTTTTGTACTATTGTGTGTTGAAAAGGTCCCCCAACCTAATGCTTTAGATAAACAACAGGGTGACAACAAGGTTCTTTCATCATCGCTGACAGCTCCCAGACCGAATAGGCCAAGATCAATGTTGGAGGATCCGTGGGTTGCCGTAATAACTATTCTTGTCACAGTAATTGTCAAATAAAGGTAGGGGATCCTGGCCATGGTTATTGTGCATGGCCCGAAGGGTCTCTGCAATATGTCTGTCTATCCAACTCTGGGTTTCGAAAGATCGTGGGGTTTCTTTTCGATAGCTGGAGGACATAGACCGGTACTGGTGTCTTGCACTCATGGGCGGTTTGGTACTCATAATCGGGGTTGTTTAGATCGGCCACAAAATAGGAATGCTTTCCAGGGTAGATCGTGACCGCAAGGAAACGAGTCGTATTTTTCTTATCGTACTGATAGAGGCTGTCCTGCACCTTCCAGGCAAATAGACGTATAGATTCTAAATAATTGTTCGGCACGAGCAGCGGTGAAGGTTGGTCGTCTCAGCGACTGTGAGAGTCTCCATATAAGGAGTTGGTGAAGGAAAGCTTTGCTGAGAACCGATCACAGATTCGAGACCTCAGGGGCCGCAAATTTTGGTTGAGCCACCTCTGACTCTGCTCCTATCTCTGTCTAACTATCTGTCCCCCTCAACTCACTATCTCGCTCGGCCTAGAATCCGGTGTATATGTAGGTAGGTAACTATGAAGTAATGAGTTGGATAGTATATGATGTTCATGGGTGGCTGTCACAATATTCCTCTCAGATAGATTAATAGAGGCTTGGTCCTTATGAAAAGTTTGAATGGTCACCTCGATAGTAAGAGATTTATGAAACAAAGGTACTACTTTAGACCCAAAGGATTCACAAGGATTTCAAGGGATCCATAAGGCCCCGGGGGCTCAAACTTCGAGGGGAAAAAAACATAAGCCATTTGTCAGCTTTCCCTTTCATCACAGAATAGATTCCATCCACGGTACTTTGTACAGATATACATACATAGATATCGGAAACACCTGTTTAAGAACTGCACAGATGATATATGCAAGAGCTGGAACACCCGGGCACGCACCCATGGTCTGTGCATTTATGAACGCAGGGCCGTGACAGGCCCAATCGAGTGGGCTCTAATTTCAGGCAGATCCGGCCTATTGGTATAATTTCTCCATATGGAGTACTGTGTGATTAAATAAGGTAAACCATGAGCTGAATCCCAACTGAATCAACTATCGAGTAAACTGAATCAAAAAATTATATTTTTCGGATGTTTCAGTTTCAGTTTCAGTTTCAGTTTTGGGAGGGTGCACCTCCGTACTCCGTGCTCCGTATTCCGTACCCGCATGGGACAGGTGTTGGTTGTTTGGACGCCACACACTAGTGGCCCCTTTTGATATAAGCGCCCGCTGCGCCTGGTTTGACATATAACGCTGTGGGAGTGGATGGAGGTGATGTGACGGGGTTTTTTTAAATTATTTCTGTGCCCAGTTCTGGATTGTGTTGGAGAATATGATAATATGATTCGATCAATTTGTGTACAGGTGCTAGTCATATTTGCTTGTTATACTACTGTTAGAGGGGATCCACCCTCCTAGGCGAATTATACCAGAAGGTACGGGGCTGGAAATGTCAGTGTCCGACACTATTGAATGGAGAGTTAATAGTACGGTTAATACGGTGATTTATATAGAGCCCATTACTTTCTATATATATAGTATAGTATATACATAGTATAAGTACAATATAGTTATATTATACTCCGTAGTATACGGAGTATACTATGTATAACAATAATAATATCCGGTAAATCAAATAAAATGAACGGTGGATCCCCCTGGAACAGCCATCTCCTTAAGAAACACATCGTGTCTCAAGTTGGGATCCACCGGGAGGGTCGGGTATCTGGTACTTAGCTGGGGGGACTGCTGATGCGTCGTTCCCCTCTTTGTCCTTCTGGTGATCAACGTACTGGGTACTTTACTTCCGTACTCTCCCTATATTCCGTTATATTACCCCCCTGGAATAGCTTGGTCGATCTCATATCTTTGGATTTTGGGATTTTTTTTCAAGGGCCCAGACTGTTCACCCCCCTCCCTCCAGATTTTCGTCCATTTCTCTCGCTTGTAATTCTGGACTGTCACACTGCCGCCTGACGCCTAACCGCCCCTCTACTCTCCTTTGGCATTCTCGCATTCTCTACTCTCCGATATATCGACCTGGCCGATCCCACGTTTCGATCCGCTTTCCGGACCTTTCCCGCACTCCAGATGCCCTTGCATCCCGTGGAGATTTATCAAGTCAATACACTGTGAGAAGTACTTGGGACTTGCGCCCATCTGCGTGATACCATACCCGGAGGAACTCGAATCATTGTCTCCGTCCACCATGTCCACCGCAGTTGCATCTGCAGCGGCCCCCTTGTCATCACCACACCCAACTCGCAACCCTAGCCCGAGAAACCTCCCGTCTTTGGCTCCTCCGAATAATATCCCGTCCAAACTCTCTCCACCCCGGATGTCCAAAAGCCCCAAGCATGGATCCGCAGCCCACGGTTCCCCGACCGAGAGAGGTCCAGCATCTCCGTAAGTCGAGAGATTCGAGAGATTCAGAGAATCTAGAACTTCACATACTAACACCGTCCTCAGATCCCAAGCTGGCAGCGGAGGCCCACAAATCACTGTAAAGAAGGAACCGGGTTCCTCCCCACGAATGCAGAGTCGGCCCCGGCCTCGGAAATTGGACCTTTCGACTAGTCTTCCATCCTCCAGTGGGTTGACGGTTCGCCCTCCGGGGGGCCTTTAACAGCCTCAATGCAACATGTAGGCCTGGCGTGCCTGTCGCCTGGCTTCCAGACCCACGATCCGGTCATGCGAGAGCAGCTGCAGCGCAGCCTCTCTGTGCGGGATCAGCAGCGGTCGATCATTGAACAGCGCATGCAGAGATCAGCGAAAGACGATGGTCCGGACGGTATTAAGCCCTCCGAGTCAAATTTGATGGGTATGCCCAAGACCGGAAAGCGCAGACCTCCGGCCGGCCTATCGATCGTCCCTCCATCGGCCTCCCAGTTTGCAAACGAGCGAGTCATCCAATCTGCTCCACTACACCAGACTTTCACTGGCAGGTATCAGCCACAGCCATTGACCCGCCATGTCGTCAACCAGAGCCCGACCTTGGGCTCGACCTCCCACATGCATCAGCTGCCAGCAACCCAAACAAACAATCGTCTTCCTCCCCTCTCCGACGTGTTCGGTTCCGATACATTGGGTCGCGACCGGGACTCTGGCCTCGCTAATATCCACTTGAACGCATCGAGCACCAACTCCTCTCAATCCAACAACTTGGCGCCGATGCCTTCCCCTGGGCTGCCAGGTAACATGTCCCAAACCCCCAACCGACCGCGCGAATATCACTCAGCCGAAGAGGCCGTGCAAGAGATGTCCGGTGGACGAGAGGAGTTGCTGCCTCGCATTGTTCACTATGGAGGACACCAACCTCCCACTCCGCCATCCCCACAAGTACTCCACGCAGACCCCAAGACCGCGCCCCTTGCCCCAGAACCCCAAGCGCCTCACGGTCCGCCTCCTGCCTCCTTTGGTATGTTTGCCCCGTCCGATGGTACGGCACGTCGGCGCCCTCGGAGCGAGTATGAACATGACAACGGAAGTCCGCCGCTGGGTCATGGCCCCGACTCTCAATACCGGCCCAACCCGGCCACCATGCCCGGCCCGCATGCTTCGTTCTCTGGACCTTTTGGTGCAGGAAGAGACTCACCCGAGACGCAGCGGAGAAAGAAGGATGAATTCCTTGGTCTCTGTGCACGAGCTTGGGATTTGTTCCACTCGTGATGCGACATCGCTCTGTTAGTCTGTCTCAGCAGTCCCTCTTGCAGAGGCCGACGGTTGGCTCTGCTTCGCGGGTTTCAAGTAATGATGGAATTTGCTTGAACCAACTTGCTAGCAAATGCCCGACCCAACCATCCCCGATGCCATCTATAAATACTATCACATCCGAGGAGTTTTGCTGCCTTGGAATACAAAGACCTTACTTTGATGCTATCAAGTCCCGGGCACTTATTTGGTCCTATTGGCAAGTCCAATCCCAACCGAGTTAATGCCTGGGCAAATCTGAATGTTCATTCTCCCCCGACTCATCCTGGACGATCGAGTCGGGAACCCCTTTTCCCATACCCAATGATGCGTGCATCAATATCATGTTATCTATGCTACGACAGTATCGGCAGGGCACCTTGGCACCCTGTAAAAATTTCGTGTTCGGGTTCTTTTATGCATCAACTTTGCTTTGGGCGTTGGAGGGGTTCTATGCTTCGTACTATACCTTTTGAACTTGTTTTTTTTTTTCTCTCTTTTTTGGGAGATAAAGCATTATGGTAATGAGTTCTCTATCTCTTATTGACTTGTTCTGAATGCCTTCTTTTCTTCTCTTTCCAACCTTTTGTTCTGCTATATTGGTTCTCCTCTCCGAGACTGGTAATTCTAATGCACATCCCATTTGAGATCATACATACAGCATACCTCTGGACATGTAGACAAGATATTCAATATTCATATGCATAATACTATATACTTTTCAATCCCAACAAATTCAACGCCATAACCCAATACAAACAAGGTCTACTCCAACCTCCGTCTCTTCCCCCATTAGGCATACCCCCATCCTGACCACCACCTTCCACTCCCCTCCTCTCCCAAGGCATCTCCTTCCTCTCCTTAGATGTCATCTTCTTCCGTCTCCTCTCAAGAGCCTTCGCCCGCTCCCTCGATCCCATCTCCTCATACTTCCTCTCAAGAACCTGCTTCTGCAACTCAGAGTTCTTAAGATAATAAGGATTAGCCTTCTTCCCCTCCCGAATCAACTGTTTCTCGCGCCTCTTATGCTCAGCCTGAACATCCGCCTCCCGCTTCTTATTCTGCGCAGACCGCAATTTATCCTCCGCCCGTCGAATCTCCCCCTTAAGCTTCTCCTTCTGCTGAAGATTCTTCGTCTTCCTCATCTGCTCCTTCAAATCATTCAGTTCAGATGCCCGGTACTCATCCAAGAACGCATACGCAGTCCCGCCATGCGGGTGCTTCCCAACACCGCTGTGGCCCATGACCGCTGCGTCGAAGCGCGGGTCTCGGGACCGTGGTGCGGGCGGGAGTTCCACTGCTGTGCGCTTGCGTGTCACCGCCCGTTTGGAGGATTGCACCATCGGCGCGTGCTTGGAGGTTCGGCTTGGCTTTTCTTTGGTTTTGGATTTCGCGGCTGCTTCGAGCTTTTGTTCGCGTGCTTCCCGGAGCTTTGTGCGGATGTCATCGAGTGTTGCGGTTGTATCGTCTTTAGGGGTGCGCTTGTCTTTGCGCTTCTTCTCGCGCATCGAGGCTTGGGCTTTGGCTAGTGCGCCGAAGGAGATGTCCGCTAGTGAGGCTTTGAAGTCGTCGCCTGAGTCGTGCTCGGATTCTGGCTCTTCTTCGATGTCTGAGTTGCTAGCTTCGGACTCAGAGCCTGTGCCTGCTTCTTCAGCTTCGGAGTCATCTGCTGGCTGGATTTTGGTTAGCTGTGATTTCTAGAGTGAAGGTGTTGGTGGCTTACTGATTGGATGGAACCGTTAGATTCGGCATCAGAGCCATCTTGCGAACCCTCCTCGGAACCTGATCCTTCGGAGAATACCTCGTCGTCTTCTGGCCGAGCTCGCACTCGGCGATTGAGCAGATCGGAAATAGCCATTTTGTTGTTGCTGTCGTTGGAAAACCCCGCGGAGGAAGAAGACCTGTCAAAAAGAAAAATATTGCCGCTCGGGGCGGTCAGAGCGATAAGCACTGATTAGATATTTTTGCGATGCCCCGATGTTGCGACGAACGTTCCTAATTAACTTGCGCTTGTTGTTTTATAAATGTCACTGCATGCTCTGCGTGGTCGAGCCTTCCCTCACTTCCAACTTGCAAATCTCCCATCGCGTCACTCTCAGCCTCTTCCCAGGGCAACCAATCAGGTACTGCCTCCACTATCATTCGTTACGTGGATAGCATGTTCGCCAATTGTTGATTTATCTCTAACTTGCGTTTAAATAGCTTCTCCCAGTGTCGAATTCTGGCGCTCCGAAATCACGACTGAGATTCTCTACTTTACTCTCGTCACGTCCTACGTCCTTCAAGCTGTCTCGCGCAAACAAAAGACCGAAGCGTGCGTCTAACGCCGCGGAACTTGAACACCAGTCGAATCCGATCCCACAGTATGCCAATTCAGCCTATTATGTGGTGAACATGAACTCTGGATCAGCACAGAATGGACGGGGGGCCAGCCGGCCGGCTTCCTCGCACGGTTCTTGGGACCGCAATGCGCCCCCTCGAGATACACATCGGATTGCGGGATATGGGGACTGTTCTGTACAAGGCAGTCTTCCACCATCGCAGTATGCTCCTGCACCGAATATGAACCCGAACATTGGTTATCAGATTCCACCGGCCAATCAACAGGCCTATCAATCTCGGGGCCACGCTCCTGCCATGCAACAGCACCAACCGCAAATACCTTCAGGACAAGGTCAACAACAATTTAGCGCTTTTAATACTTTGCCACCAGATCCAATGGGGATGGATCAAGCTTTCTTCCAAATGGCACAGAATATGCCCTGGATGTATCCGGGCTTTGATAGCGGGACGCCATTTCCACCTCCATTTCCCCTCCTCCCTTTCGATATGAATGCCCCACTACCCTTCCAAAACACCAGACCCATGAGCACAATGGCCGGTGGCACAGGAAAACGGTCCACGCCGGATGTTCAGAGACAAAGATCGCCAACACCGCCAGTCAAAGTCCCACTCCCGACATTACAATACACAAATCAGGCATCATTGAAGCCAGAGAAGACAGAAAAGCGACCACTCCTCGTCATCCTCGATCTCAACGGCACCCTCATTTACCGCAAGGTTCGCAAATTCCCACCGAAATTTGCCAGACGCACTGGTCTAGATCACTTCCTAGCCATGCTAGTCAAGAACTACAAAGTCATGATCTGGTCCAGCTCTCAACCCCCAACTGTAAACGCAGTCTGCGAGCAGATCTTCCCAGGCCCCATGCACGACGCTCTCGTCGCCCGCTGGGGACGCGACAAATTCGGCCTCACCGCCGGTCAATACAACAAAAAGCTCCAGGTCTACAAGGAGCTACACAAAGTCTGGGCGGAGGCAAATATCCAAGGCGCATTCCCAGGGAACGAACATCTGAAAAATCCCCCGGGGGAATCATCAAGCGACAACCCATCACGCAAGAACCGCAAGCAAAAGCTTCGCGATGCTAAAGCTGCAAAGCTTCCCGCGGGCCACCGTTGGGACCAGACCAATACCATCCTCATTGATGATAGCAAGCTCAAGGCTTCGAGTGAACCGTACAATATCCTCGAGATTCCGGAGTTCGCTAATGATCCCAGCATCGATGAGACGAAGCTCTTCACTAAGGTGCTCAATCGTCTTGATTATCTCGCACACCACGACGACGTGAGCAAGGTTCTCCGCGTCTGGAATGAGCGGGTAGACAAGGGTGAGGGTAGTATTCTGGATTTGGATATCGGACTCCACGAGGATTCTGTCGACAACGAGGATGGCGGGATAAGTCTTCTCCCAGAGCAGTTGAATGGCAGCTCTAGTGGGGATCCCATGACCTTCAATGGTACAAACGGCGCCCCTGCCCCTGCCCCTGCAATTTCTAAGGCCAAGGCCAAGAAAAATAAGAAAGCGAAGGCTAGAGAAAAAGCCGCCGCCGCCGCCGCCAATAATCCAACCGAAAACATGACACCCGCACTTTCCAGTACTGCACCCATCACAAACCAGCCAGTCACAAAGCCAACACAACCCCAGCAGAAGACAGAAGACCAAAAGACCGAAATTAAATTGTCCCGCAAAGCCCGCAAAAGAGCCAGGGAAGAAGAAAGTCTCGCCATAAAGGCCGCCGCCGAGGCGGAACAGCGAAAGAAACACGATATTCCTATGCCGAGTTCCGAAAATGAGACTACCGGGCCAAAAATACCTGGTCTCGGTCTCCTCCAAGTTCAACCTGGCACAAGCCAGAAATCCATTCGTCGCAAACAGAAGGCTGCAGACAAAAAGGCGCAGTACGAAGTTGATCCTCCCACCTCTACTTCTGCTTCTGCTTCTGACTCTGGTCCCGGTTCCAAGACGGTCTTCGAATCTGCCTCTGCAGCTGCCCACACAGCCGATGCTGCTCGCACCATAAAATCCGGATTATCACCTGAATACCTCCCCCAGATACGGATTTGACTGTGGGCATGGAATCAGATGTTGCTGACTATGTTCCACCGGATTTTGTGACTGATTCAAGAACTAAGCATGACCGCTCGCCATCGCCGGTTTCATCGGCTGGATCGAGGAATTCGTTGCTTGATCGGCTTGAAGAGGGGCTTGGGATTGGGGCTGTGAAGCGTTGACCTCAGAGTAGTATAGCTGTTATCGGGGTTGAGGCTTGGATTCTGAAAGGGATCTTCTTGTTCTGTCTTTGTTTGGTTTTTTTCATAGATATCCCGTCATATGTATTTTTTTCTTATATATCTTTCCTCTCTTAGAGGTCTTGAAATCATAGTTTATATGTTTCATGTCTGGTTGTTGAGACTGTTGTATGCATGCATACTCAAGGCATTGGCTCTATCATACTGGATCAGTCTCGTTTGTTTATATGTAATGTGAAGTAAACTAGTAAACGAGGGAAGAATAGTAGGATACTACTATCTCTACCTTCCAAATGTTTCTCTAAAGGAATCCCCCCTCTAGATATCTCTATCTGTATTCCCTCACTTATGTTCTAATTCAATATTCTAGTGTTCCTCTGAATCTTTAACTTTCATATTCCAGTCCTATCTCCTACAGCTTTACATCTAAAATCCAAAAGAGCCTAAAATTCATGGAAATCGTCGTTGATGTACCATACGCATGGCGTTTTTCCCTAATATATATAGTTCTTTACATCATCGTCTTTGAAACACTTTTGCCGTCCGGGATAACTGTTTGGCATGGATGAGTGCATGATGCCTTTTCTCGTAGAGATAGTCGTCCTGAAAAGTACCGGGAAGACTATTGGAAGGGACAGAGGGATATCCCCTGCACTGGTAGCAGGTCTTGCCAATCACTATCTCCTACTTGACCCGGAACTCATGATAGAGCAAGCATACCTCTTTATTAGATAATGTCATGGAACTCTTCTTGTTTCAGCCAATCTCCGAACAAGATAGGTCAAAACGCCACGATGCCCAAGAGAGGAACATCGTGTTCTTGAAGATACCGGATTCCTGGAGTTTTGTAACCGCTCCCTTTGCATTCCAGTCGATGAACCCAAAATAGAAAACTGCTTGGATTGTAGAGAGATGGTCAGACCACCGATATTCCTACCAGTTTTCCATACTGGGTGTCATCGGGCTGGCATGGGGACCGGACAGTCAGAAGTAATCACAGAAGATTACTTCTAACTGCCCGCATAGTCCTGTAAGAATTTGGCTGAGCGAGAATGATGCTCATCCAATAGTTAAATTCGAGGGAAGATAGAACATAAGAAACCCTTTATATATCTTCATTGTCTATACGGGCCCTCATTCCCTTTGGTTGCGGCTTCGGTCTGCCCGAGACACCAAACCAAAACAAAACAGTCTGTGTGGAATTTATGAGGAAGCAGGACAGAGCTTCCATGTTGTTCAGCAAATTGGCATTGCACACGGCGAGCGAGGTATCCCAAGGTTGGAATGGATAAATGGATGGGACTCTTCCAACACAGAGGCGTGGTGTTAGTTTTGCTTTGTTCATACCTGCTAGTCGAACCAAGACTCTCGCCCATGAATTTGTAAAGAATGAGACAATCTCATAGAAGCCATCTCATGAGAGCCTTGGTCTTTTGTTCAAACTCATCGAAGAAAAAAAACCCCAGGAGTGATACAGCGGCAGGGCATATAGCGGCTGCATTGTGGCGAACGATATACGACCTTTAATGCATATATCGATTCGGGTGCCGTTTGCTAATTCTGACATTGACAGGCCAGACAGGTCTGGAGATGGTTGTGGCAGTTTGGCTCAGCCGGCTTGTTGTGGAAGAGGTAGACGGAAGAACAACGGGGTCGAGACATGAAGAAAAAGAATGGTGCTACCCCAGAGACGCTCATTCCTACAACGTAGAAAGCTTTCAGTTTGACTTTGAAGTAACCCGAGAGAAGACTGGAGGTTGGAGACAAGAACTCCGAGGCCGAAGGTTGGTATATGTTGGGTGGGTCTGTCAAAAGGGCTAGGAACAAGAAGAAGCAAGGAACATGAATGCGATTCATGTTCACATTGCGCCATTCTCTGCGCCAAAGGTTCTGAGTGAATGGAGAAGGGTGGGAGACAGAAGCAGACTGACTGCCCTAAAAACAATGTATATCATTGTAGAGTCTGTGATAATGTTAAATGCTAGCCAAACATCATTGGCTTTACTCTCAAATCTTACTCAACTCACCACATCGGAGTCACAACGTCATGTGTTAGCTAGCACCGGGGACAACTAGAGATGGCCTGCCGAGCCATTGTATGTATCACCGTTGAACAAGCCATGGCCGAAGCACGAGAGGACTTGTGATTCCCCATAATGATGAAGACTGGGAGTAGTAGATATGAAATTTGAAATGGAAGTGAGGGATGATGAAATCTAAGTGAACCATAGGAAGATATATATGTATAGGCAGCTAGAAGGAAGACAGCTTGATTAATGAGCGGGCAGAATGGTGGGTGTGCGAGAAGAGGATGGTTGTAAAGGAAGAAGCAGTAAGGCATCTAGCAATCTATATCCGGCCAGTAGGCAAACAAATGGTCAACATCCAATGGTATATCCAAATGACAGAGCAAACGACAAAGGGGAATATGGGGGAGATAAAAGGAGACCAGGAGAGCGAGGATGTATACTGGTAGTGTTAACACATCTCGCACATGCCACCAGGTAGCTCCAAGACCTATTTCTACAAAGACTGCGCAATAATTCACCACTACACAGGAAAAAATAAATATGCACTCAAGAATTCAGAGGACTGTCTCTGTTCTTTAATTGCTAGAACTAAACTAGCAGCAACTGGTCCAGCTGGGATTGTCATAATAGCAAAACCCAAACTAGCTTAGTCGATCATCATTCCGCGTCGCAACGTATTCATAACCGTGATTCAACATCAACACGTAAGACCAAAGGTCAAGATATTTGGAAAATCCCAAAGAATTTCAGGCAGAGGAAAGAAGAGAATAGACGTGAGGCGTAGGATGTTTTCAAGCACAGCACGTCCATCGGGGTATTGGGGGATGAAATTTTATAGGAGATGGGGAGAGTAAATCGGGGCGAACGCGCTTATTTGAAGACGTGGCCATCGGTCCACTCCTTGACCTTACCGTCAACGGTGACGGGAACGTCCTGGGACCACATGTCCTCGACGAGCTTGCGGTCAGCCTCGTTGGAGGGGTCGAGCTTGGTGAACTCGTAACCCTCGTAGTCGGGGCCGACAGTGAAAGCGGGCTCCCACTCCTGACCGCGGGTCATGTAGGCACCGTAGACGACACAGTCGTAGTTCTCGCCGTAGACGGACTGGGCACCGAAGAGGTACTTGCGGGAAGCCTCAAGACGGGTCTGGAAGCCACCGATCAAGTTGTTGGCCATGAAGGTGAGCTTGAGCTCGTTGTTGTAACGGTAGTTGACCTTCCAGAGAGAGTACTCATCGGCCTTGAAGTGCTCCCAGAACCAGGGCATGGCGACGGTGCGGGGGTCCTCGTTGGAGAACTTGCGCTTCCAGTCATCAAGGATGAGAGTGGGCTTGCCAAGAGCCTCAAGGGGGTGCTTGGCCTTGGGGGCCTCGGCGGCGGGGGCCTCAGCGGGGGCAGCGGCAGCGGGAGCGGCGGCCTTGGGCTTGGGCTCCTTCTTGGGGGCGACGTACTTGATCACCTCCTCAGCGAACTTGGGCTCGGGGAAGACAGCCTTGAAGGCGTCCTGGTTGATAATGGTGTTGTACCACCGGGTGGTGGCGGGGTTGGCCTCGCGCCAGGCCTTGTCAAGGACAGTGGCGAAAGCACGGGTAAGGAGGGAGGCAGCGAAGATATCGGCCAGGGTGATACGCTCACCAACAAGGTAGGTGTTGGCAACGAGGTGGGTCTCGAGGGCAGAGACGGCCTTGAGGGCAGTCTTGGCGGCCTCATCGACAGTCTTCTTGTTGTAGTTACCGAAACCCAACAGAGGGCGGTACCAGGCACCGAACAGGGGAAGGACCTCAGTGTTCACGAAGGACATCCAGCGGAGGATGGAAGCGTAGTCCTGCTTGGTCTTGCCGAGAAGGGTGGTCTTCTCGTTCTGGGAGGTGACTATGAACAGGACGTGTTAGTCAAGTTGCTTTGAAACTCAATTGGGTCCAACAATGGAGCAATCGGAGGTGTCGATGACACCATGTGTCCAATGCAAAATGAAAAGAGGGGGATGGTCGAGTCCAAATTTTCCCGCAGAGCGGGGTAGCCAATTATTTTTTTTTCAGAGTTGTTTTTTCTCAACAGTTGTTATAACACAAGAGTTATAATTCAGACAGGGATAACTAATGGTATCTCATCATAAAGAAGAGAGGCATAAAAAATGGACCGAGGGGTGTGGTGGAATGCATTGAAGGGAGGCAATTTGTTCACATACCATAGACGGCAATGGCAATAACCTCAGAGAGGGTGAAGCCATTGGCACCCTCGAAGGCGGGGATCTTGCCAGTGGGGTTGAGCTTGAGGTACTCAGCGCTGGTGTTGAACTCAGCGGCAGAGTTGGCCTCAGTCTTAACCAGCTCCAAATCGAGGTCGTTGTGCTTAGCAGCGACCAGGATGGAGATGGTGCGACCGTTGTCCTAAAGAATATTAGACATTGAATGAAAGCAAAGGGTCGAAGATAAACATACAGGCAGACCGTAGAGCTTTCCGAAGGCCATCTTGAATGTAATGTGTGGAAGATGAAGAAGAAAAAAAAGAAAGAAGAGAAAGGAGAGGGGCGAACAAGTTTTTTGTGCTGGCGGGACGACCTCGGTGTTCGGAGGAACTGATCTTGCCGGAGCCACAGTCACATGACCCGACAAAAAACATGACACTCGGAGACCATCAATGGTCTCCATCTAGGACCTCAAATCCGAGCTTCAGCCCCGAATTCCCCGCCAATTCCACCAGCCATGGCGTGGCACAAACCCACCAGCCTTGCACAGGCGATGCAATCCCTCCGCCTAACCTCAACCCTCACAAAACCCTCAACC